CTGCTATATGGATGCTGGGAATTGAATCCCAATCCCCTAAAAGAACAGCCAGCACTCTTAACCGCTGAGCCATCTCTCCAGCCCCAGTACCAAGTTATTTTTATGTTTACTATGTTCCTTGACTGTCCTAGGATTTTAATTTCTTCTGTTCCTCTCCTCCTACCCAGTCGCTATACACTGTTAGTTATTGATTAAATGGAGTACTGCCCTATGAAATAAGTCTTAGGTTTATTCAGGTTCACTCCTAATCCAAGAGGGAGAACAAGGCCTCTTTAACAAGGCCAACAGGCTAAATGAGGCCCATAGGGACTGTCCTCAAACAGCGGCTTGAGGACAGGCTGAGCCATCTCCCTCCCTGGAGCACAAGTTTGATACGTGAGCTTTAAACACCTAGTACTTTTCCTGCTAGAGGGAACTGGTGAGCAATTCATCTGTAACATACAGGCAGACCAAAGCTACTATAGCCCTTTCTCTGCATGCACTATTACCACCAAGTCCAGAATCAAGCAAGCAGTTTCAAAGCCCAGGAGAAATTAAAAACTTGTGTTGCTGTACTTTGCAGCATGCTGGTTACCCCAGCTTTATGCAGCCGTTGTACTTGGAGCAGCATTTTCAATCAAAATTCCTTTTATCTAGTAAAAAGTTTAATTCTTCTATAGCAGAAACAAAAAAAGACTCTTTATAAGTTTATTATCAGCTACTACCCTGTCAGATATCTATAGGGATCTTAAAGGGAAAAGAGAAAATAAAAATAAAATTACAAATTGACATTAGCAAGATCTGTAGGTAATGAGCCTGAGAGGTAAATAAAGTGGTGGAGAGGCAGTGGTGGCAGTGGCGGCAAAGGAGGAAGAGAAGAGGAGGAGGAAAGAAGAAGAAGAGGGATGATGATGATGGTGATGATGATGATTATTATTATTTTATAGTATCAGGACTGCTAAACAACCTCTCCATATCCCTTAAGCAATGTAAAAGCCCTCTTCAACAGCCAAAAATAGCTATTACTACAGCAGCATGTCATGAAGTCCCAGCAAAATTGGGACTCTTGACTGCTTCTGCTATCCTCATGCTAATAGGCTTAAGAACTTCTATGATAAAGGACATTTCCCATTTTACCTGTAGGAAATATAAAGGCATTAAAGCTGTGACATATGAGCTTACAGTGTCTGTGAGGAAATAGTAAACATGGTTCATGAGAGCAGTAGTCTTTTGAATATTCACACCTTTGAAAAGTACCCAGAGAAAATTCCAGGACAACTGAACCTGAGTATACAGTCCTGAAAGGTTTGGGGAACAATGCACAAAACAAGGAGCAAAATGTATACCTACCTGGCCAGCACATGTCCCATCAACAGTGCCCATTGTCTGTCTCTCTATCCCAACTCTGTGTATAATGCAAAAGCTGTGGGTTTTCTGGTAATGTTGCATTCTAGTTCAAAGTGCATTGTTAATATTTTAGATTGCTACATGAGATAGATAATGACTTTTTAAGAAAATTCTTTATGTTGAATTCTTTATTTAGAGAGGTGGCTCAGAGAAAAGAACACTTGTCTCTCTTGAACTTCTTACCTCCGCACGTTATACACAGGCAGCACACTCATGCAATAAAATCCAAAAAAAAAAAAACCTTTAGTATTTTTAGTTCCAAACCAGCCAAGACTAAATAGTGAGATCCTCTCTCAAAATAAATAAGATAAACAGACAAAAGAGAGCCAGATATGGTTTCATGTGCCTGTCATTCCAGCACTTGGGAGTTGGAAACAAGAGGATAAGTTCAAGGCTAGTCAGGGCTATATAAACTCTTGTTTCAAGGTGGGAGGAAAAATCTGAAGAAGCCTAAGATTCACTAGAGTGACTTTAAGTATCACATCAAAGCACAATTCATAAAATAAATATTAATAAATTGGGTTTCATTGGATGGTGCACACCCTTAATCCCAGTACTTGGGAGGCAGAGGCAGGTGGATCTCTGAGTTCAAGGCCAGCCTGGTCTAGAGAGTGAGTTCTAAAAAAGCAAGGACTGTACAGAGAAACCATGTCTCAAAAACAAACAAGCAAACAAAAAACACTTCAAAACCAAAGCAATAACAAAAAGACAGATTGGGTTTCACCAAAAGTAAAGCTGGACATTGTAGCACACAACTTTAATTCTAGCATTAGGGAGGCAGAGGCAAGCAGATCTCTGAGTTTAAGCCAGCCTTGTCTGGAACACATAGTTCCAGGACAGCCAGGGCTATGCAGAGATAACCAAAATTATGTCTATTGTATAAACATGTAAAAGGCTGAAAAGGACCAATCCTTAGATTGTGAGGACATCTGCAAATAACTGTATCATCGCTGAAGACTTGAATGTGGATAAGAAGTCTCTACAACAGTGATTCTTGACCTTCCTAATGTTGTGGTGACCCCAGTATAAAATTATTTGCTACTTCATAACTATAATTTTGCTACTGCTAGAAATCATAATATAAATATCTGTATTTTCAGATGATCTTAAGATGATCTGTTTGACCTCAAGGGGTTGCGACCTCTAAGTTGAGAACCACTTTTCTAATAGGCAGGGTAGTAAACTGGAGACTGATGTCCTTCAGCCAGTTAATAAATAAAGAACCTATGACACCCGCATGGAGAAGAGAATACTGTCTACAGTAAATAGGGACAAACCCCTGCATGCAAGCAGCATGGATAAATATCTTATGTATACCAAATGTGAGCATTTTTTAGATGACAGACCAAGGTAAACATAAAGTAGTAAGAGAAGATGATTTTAAGTTTTCTTGTGTGTGTGGAAGCCAGACCTCAGATGTTTTCCTCTATTGCTGCCTACCTTCGTTTTTGAGACAGAATCTCTCATAAATCTTCTCAGCTAAGCTGTCTCTGCACCTAGCTCTGGAGTTAGAGACTTTAACATAGGTGCTGGAGATCTGAACTCGGGGCCTCATGTTTATGCAGCAAGCACTTTATACTCATTTAGCCATTTCCTTAGTCTAACTGTGCACCTTTTAACATGCTCTTAAAAAGTGTTATGTATTCCACTTTTCCTAAGTAGTCTGTCTACCTTAGTGCTTATTATTGCACATATACATGTGTGCACACACATTTCTCTTTATTTTTTATGTAAGTTGTCCTCTCTAGGTAGACCCAGTGGGAAATGAGAAGCAGGTTTTGTACAGCTGATGTGATCACTGTACAGACAAGCTTGGAAAATGCTACCCAGTCTGCCAATTAATTAAAGCATTAATCTGGGAAGCAGCCGGCCCAGAAAATGTTTGCTCAGAGAGACAAAAGGTAGGAACTGAGTAGGGAGTGCCCTATATTTGCATGAAAATAAAGGTTCATAAGAATGAACATACACACATCTACCTTCTTTTTATCTCTAAAAATGGGATAGCTTTGATCATATCTCTTATCAAGTTTCTGACTTGTTAAGGAAAACTAAAAGAGAATGAACTCTGAAAGCTGAAACCACAGTAGGGTATAAACAAGCAAATTCAACCCTCAGCAAAGTTGGGTAGGCAGGAAGTCCAGAGCGGTGTGTCTTCTTGACCTGGAATGAAATCTGCTACAGTGGAAGTATGTGCTGACAATTGGGTAGGATAGGCGTATGGTTTGGGAAGCTTTAGAACCATGTAGATCCCAGCTCTGCTTATTGTGTGGTTTGAGGCCAGTCATTATTTTAACTAAACCTTATTTTTCTCAAAGACTATAATGCTCCTTCATCTCAAGACAGTTAACTGCCTGTGTTCTCTAGGAAGGAAGGAAGCAAGCAAGCAAACCAGCAAAGAGTGGTTAGGACCTTCCAAGATTACAGATTGTCTCTGTAACTGGAGGCCGCTCAGCCTTTTGCTTGTTTTAGGCTTCCGTTTCAGCAAGGGACTATGAACTAGTCTTTCTCTCACCCAGGGATTTCGTTAGTCTTACTCTGTACACAAGGTAAAGCTTACCTGTGTATCATCAAAGACGATGACGACAAGAGCATGGACAATTGACTCATGCTTTTTTGTTATATTAAATAAGTATTGCTGATTTCTTTGTTTGTTTGTTTTTGTTTGTTTTTTGAAACAGAGTAGTCTGCTACTCTGGCTGACCTGGAACTTGCTGTGTAGGCCAAGCTTGCTTCAAATGTGTAGTGATTTTTCTACTTCTGCCTCCTGAAAACTGGAGTTATAGATATGAACTGCCATGCCTGATGCCCAGCTATTAATTTCTTGATTGATCACGGGCTGGGAGTATAATTCAATGGAAGAATAGTTACACAGCATATGAAGTGTCCTGAGCTCAATCTCCAGCATAACAAGCACAACAGTAATGAAATAATAGCAAAACGTCTGAAAGTCTGAAACTGGAGAGATGACTCAGCAGTTGAGAGCACTAACTGCCTCTCTTCCAGAGGACCTGAGTATGATTCCCAGCAACCACATGGCAGCTCACAGCCCTCTATAGTAGGATCTGATGTCCTCTTCTGGCATGTAGGCATACATGCAGATAGAGCACTCATACACACAAAATAAATAACTCTTAAAACAACAACAACAACAACAAAAAAACTGGGGCCGGAGAGATGGCTCAGTGGTTAAGAGCACTGATTGCCCTTCCAGAAGGACCTGGGTTCAGTTTCTACATTCACATGGCAGCTCACAACTGTATGTAATTCCAAGATCTCACACCTGCACACAGACAGACATACACACAGGCAAAACACCAATGCACGTAAAATAAAAATAAATTTAAAAAAACCGATAGGCTATATATGACATACAACTCCCCCTTTTAATAATTTTACCGTGAATTTTTAAAATGTGCTTTTTAAAAATGTTTAATCTTTTAGAGCTACATACTAAAACTTTTACAGATAAAATGGTAGTGTCAGGAATTTAATTCAAGTTATTCTAGGGGGAGGAGGACTAACCCAGCCATGAAGACTTATAGCTTTCTTCAACAGACGGAACTGACCTTTTGTTAGATAGTTTTTTTATTTGTGTCTTTTCGTTTTACTTTCAGAACTCTCAGAGATCGAGCCAAATGTATTCCTTCGTCCATTTCTGGAAGTTATTCGCTCTGAAGATACCACTGGTCCTATCACCGGCCTGGCACTCACCTCTGTCAACAAGTTCCTGTCCTACGCACTCATCGGTAAGCCTTAAACTCTGTCGGACATTGCCAACACGCTATTTCCTGCTTCTGTTCAGTTGCTCAGGCATTAAAGCAGCCAGTGAGTCTTGTTTTCCCCTTCCTGGTAGAGAATAGGACTACTTATTATCCATCATGCAAATTGACTGGACTGTACATGGAGGACTGTACAAAGAGAGGAGATTGCCTGCTAACTCTAGCTTCTGTCACCCTTTGGAGAGTTAGGCGTATGGTACCATTGTGGTTTGGTTTGTCTTTATTGAAGATTACTTTTATTTCTTTGTCTTGGGGAGTAGGGACAAGGGGCATGCCCATGGAACAGTGTTCACATGGAGGTCAGAGAACAATTTGTGGAGCCAAAGGAACAAACTCCAATCACTAGACTTGGCAGCAAGTTTCTTTACCCACTAAACCATCCCTCTAACCTGGTCTGCCTTATTTTCTAAATATAATTCATGTTTATTGTAAGAAACCAAACAATACAGAGACATCTGAAAGAAGAGCTAAGAGTCTCTCCTCTGTTGTGGTGCTGGAATCTCTTCTTTAGGGAAAAGTGTCAATGCCATGGCTTAACTTGTTTCTTGACGCATATATGCATGAGCAAACCCTCCCCCACACGCACACCTTCATTTTAAGACAAATGGTGGCGCACACCTTTAATACCAGCACTTGGAAAGCAGAGACAGGTGGATCTCTGAGTTCAAGGCCAGTCTGGTCTACACAGAGAAACCCTGTGTCGAAGAACCAGGGGGGAAAAAAAAGGCCTTTCTATGTAGCCTGGAACCCTGGAACTTTCAGTCCTCTTGCCTCAGCCTCTCAAGTACTGGATTTAGACAGTATTTGCAAGGCAGTGATGGTACACATCTTCAATCCCAGTACTCGGGAGGCAGAGATAGGTGGATCTCTGAGTTTGAGGCTAGCCTGGTCTACAGAGCAAGTTCCAGGATAGGCTCCAAAAAACTACAGAGAAACCTTGTCTCAAAAAAAAAAAAAAAAAAGGAAAAGAAGATTCGTTTACTCATTTTTTGCGTGTGTGTGTGTGGTGTGTGTACCTGAATGAATATATATGTATATATATGAGCACCATATGCATGCAGATACCCACAGAGTTCAGAAAAGGGTTTCAGATTTCCCTGAAACTATAGTTACAGATATTGATGAGCAGACCGGTCTAGATGCTGGGATCTGAACCTGAGTCGTCTGAAAGAACAGAGTACTCTTAACTGATGAACCATCTGTCCAGTCTAATTATCCTTTTTTAAAAAGGAATGGGATAAAAGGAGACTTGTGCTATGTATTTTTTATATTTCAATTAATAGTCTCAATTTGATATACACAAGATAATTATATAGCTAATTTTTTCTTTTCATTGTAGTAAAACATATATACATATTATATACATATATAAACACACATACACACATATATATAAATAATTTTCCCTTTTAACCTGTTTTTCTTTAAGAAAGATCTCATGTAGCCCAAGCTGACCTCAGATTCATTATGTAGAAAGGATAAATATGAGCTTCATGTCTTCCTCACCTCACCTTCCCATACTGGGATGATAAGCCTGTGCCACCACACCCAGTTTTATGAAATGTTAGGATCAAACCAGTGGCTTCATGCATTCTAGACAGGCTCCACATCCCCAGTCCTCTTTAATCAGATTTAAGTATATAATTTTAAGTTTTAGTTATGCCCACAGTATTGTGCGCCTATTTCTACCATTTGCTTCTCAAACTTTTTCATTGCTCAAATTTTAACTATGAAATAATAACTTCCTGTTTCTCTCTCTCATCCACCCCGGATTTAATGGTGTCTTTTATTTAATATTAACATATTTCCTTTTTGAAACCTTTATAATGCTGAAATAAACATCCTTGTTTCTCTGACCTTATTTACATATTTTATTTTCCGAGTCAGGGTTTCTCTGTAGCTTTGGAACCTGTCTTGGATCTTGCTCTGTAGACCAGGCTGACTCACAGAGATCCGTCTACCTCTACCTCCCGAGTGTTAGGATTAAAGATGTGCACCACCACCGCCTGGCTTCTCATTTTATTTCTGTGTGAAATATTTCTAAATGTGTAATTTCTGGTGTACAGTCTGTGTATATCACATTTATAAGTGCTACATTTTATACATTACTTCCCCAGCAGGTTACATTCCCATCGCTGTCTTCAGCTCTGAATATTATCAGTTTTCTTTTGTGTGTTTGTGCCACTTTGGTGGACAAATTCTGTATGTTGTTTTTATTTCATTGAGGTTAAACCTTTGAATCTCTTTTGTATTTAACAGTTGGTATAAGTTCTTTGTATGGTGGGAAAAACAACCTATTATCTATCATTGTATTAGAAAGTTTTGCTCTCAGTCTAGACCCAATCTACAGTGGATCTCTGATTTCTTTTCAGTAGTGGGTGGCGGGCCAGTGGCACAATGGATAATACATCTGACTATGTATCAGAAGAGTCAATAGTGGGACTTGAACCCAGGGCCTTAAACTTGCTAGGCAAGCACCCCACCAACTAGTTATGTCCCCTTCTGACAGTTTATATAAGATGTGCTTTGCCACATTTGTCTTTCTTTCTTCCTTCCTTCCTTCCTTCTTTCCTTCCTTCCTTCCTTCCTTTCTTCTTCCTTTCTTTCTTTTTTTCCTTTCTTTTCAGTTGGTCTTGTCACTCAGAATGTTAATTCTTTTCCCCCTATGAAAAACCCATGTGAAGCTGGGTGGTGGTGGCACACACCTTAATCCCAGCACTCAGAAGGCAGAGGCAGGCAGATTTCTGAGTTCAAGGCCAGCCTGGTCTGCAGAGTGAATTTCAGGACAGCTAGGGATACACAGAGAAACCCGCCCTCCCCCCCCCCCAAAAAAAAAGAGTAAGGAGCAAAGAAAACAGGTAAGTGGCTGTGTTTGTTCCAAAGTGGAGAGCCAAGGAAAGATGGGGGAGGCTTAGGTTCTAACTATCCAGAAACAAATGAATGACCTTCATATTCAGGAGAGAAAACTCTTTATCTTTTCTAGAAAATTTGATTTGCTTAACTAAAGCATTTAGGATCCTAAGCAGTGAGTAGGAGTCTTGGTTGTCAGCCAGGTTCTGAGTAGGTAAGGTCTCAACCTCTCCAGCCAAGCCCACTAAACTTGGCTTCATACCTTCTCTGAAAGAAACCAGGCCCAGTTGCTTCCAGCCTTGACCTGAGCACCACCTGCAGGTCATGTCTCTCCACAGCCTTCAGCCAGCTGCCCTTCTGAGTCTTTCCCTTTGATCTTTTCTCCTTCCTCTGCTCCCTTCCTGGACTTGGCAAACAGGCTGGTCATTGGAGCCCTCAGGCCAGCTGGTCAATGGAGCTTCCGGTGGTGGGAAAGGAGAATGCTGGGAGGTGATGATTGCTATAGGCATGAGAAAAGGAGCAGGGAGGAATGTACAAAAGCAACTCTCTGGCAACTCTCTCTGAAGCTGGCTTCCAAGTGATAGAAAAGGAAGGTGTCTGGAGTTTCCAGGAATGCAAAGGCTACTAATTGACCTATCAACTCACCCTTTGTGTCAGCGACCTCCTAACAGAAACCACCCACTGTCCCTGAATCCTGTAGCCCAAGACTTCTGAGATGATTTTCGGTCCTTAGTTTGGTCCTACATATCTGCCAAGCCATGATTTTTTTTCTAGCTTGGTGGCAGGCTCTTCCCAGTGATTCTAAGGACCTGTTACTATTACCTGCCTTTTTGGAAAACTTTTTGGAAAAAAAGAAAATTGCTACTTTGTTGAAGCTGAAGTAATGAGAATACAAAAAAATCAAAAGAATTTAAATACTTTATCAAGAGATTACTAAAAGATAGGAAGAAACAGACTCCCAGGAGCCCTGAGCAAGACTACTGTTCACTGAACTCTGATATGCTATTCAATACTAAGAAAGACCAGGCTTTCCTGTAACCCTGGAGGCCTAAATAATGACTTTCAGGCAGAGGGTTTAAACAAGGGCCATAAGGAATGGAATTTTCAGTTGGGCAGTGATGGCACATGTTTTTAACCCCAGCACTCTGTAGGAGAGGCAATCAGATCTCTCTCTGAGTTCAAGGCCAGCCTGGTCTTACAAGCAAGTTCTAGGACAGCCAGCGCTGTAATGTAGCTGAAACCCTATTTCACAAAACAAACAAAAGAATGGAATTGTCTGTGCTGATTGAGAGAGACACAGAGGATGATAGGAGGAAAAGCTGGATCACCACATTGTGCTCTGAGTCCTGAAACTGGTTTCCCTTTGCATATCTCTGAAGCAGCCACTGAATACTTAGAAGAGGGTTGCTGCAAGTAGAACAGTCTTGGATATGTCGGAGACTAGTGCCGACAACAATAGATGAGAAAGGGAAAGCAAAGAGTACTCATGTTTAATGAAAGACTTCCTGCTCATTGTTGCCAGAAAAATGCTCAGGTTTCTTCGCAAGCTTTAGGCCCAGGAACTCCATTAATTTAGGTACCAAAACAGGGAAAATCACCAGGTGTGGCACATATGGTTAAGCCCTGCACTTTGGAAGCAGAGGCAGGGTATCTGTGAGTTCAAAACTAGCCTGGCCTACATAGTGAGTTTTAGGCAAGCAAGGGCTACATAGTGAGACCTTGACTCAGAATGAAGAAAAAGAAGAAAAAGGAGGGAGGAGTAGCAAGATGTGTCTCCTGATTCCTATCACTATGTTCAAGAGGGGCTCACTCTCCGTGCTACCTCAGCTTTACCCTAGTTTGAGCTTTACCTTGTGCCTTTCCTAATTAACTCCATGAGTTCACTTTCTAAAGCTAAGCAACAAATGGACTCTCAAGAAGCAGGACTCTGAAGGCATTGCTGGAGACAGCTCTTAGCCTGCTCCGTGTGACTCTTTAACTCAAGAGTAGAAGCAGATTTATCCCTTTACTACCAGCCTTTAGTTGTAGGTCAAATCCTAGCTGCCTCCTTCTCCCCAGTCTTTGGTCCTATTTAGTTTGTTTCTTTTTCTCTCCTAAAGCCTGGTTAGTTAAAGGAGGAACAAGATTTTTTTTTAAAAAAAAAGCTGCTTATGGTTGGCTCATGCCTTATAATTTCAACTCTTTGAAAGGTAAAAGAAGGAGGATAAGGAATTCAAGACCACGCTTAGCTTCATAGTGAACTCAAGGCAAGCCTAGGCTACACAAGCAAGACCCTGTCTCAAAAACTGTTGTAAATAGGAGTGGTGGGTTGCGTTCCCGCTGCCAGGTTCCCAACTAGTTTACACCCAAAATAATTACACGGAAACCATATTCTTTTAAACACTGCCTGGCCCATTAGTTCCAACCTCTTATTGGCTAGCTCTTACATATTGATTCAACCCATTTCTAATAAACTGTTTGCCACCATGAGGTCATGGCTTACCCGGAAAGATTCAGCATGTCTGACCTGGCGGCTGGTTCCATGGCGTCAGCTCTCCTGGCCCTGCTTTCTTCCTCCCAGAATTAAGTTCTGTCTTCCCCGTCTACCTATGTTCTGACCTATCAGGCCAAGCAATTTCTTTATTAATTAACCAATGAAAGCAACAGAAATACAGAAGACCCACCTACATCAAAAAGCAAAACAACAACAACAAAAAGACCAACTAAATAAATAAATGAAAACAAGTTATTTGGAGTAGGTGGCAGGATCTCTTTGCTTACAGTCCTGGTTGGCTTCAAGCTCATCACTCAGCCTGTCAAGTGTGTGGCATCCCGCCTGGTCTTGGAATCAAGAGTCTTGCTCAGTGTTGTTTTAAATAAGAATGAACTCAAAGGACCTTTGATCTGGTATAATATGGTACCCAGATAGAAATACTGGTGGCACTAACCATCTGTTTTTAACATCATTCCCTTAATTCAATTATACCAGAACATACAACTACAAAAAAAGAAGTTCTATTAAAAGATGAAAAGAGTGCTAGTGGTGGTGGTGCACACCTTTGATCCCAGCACTTAGGAGACAGAGGCAGGCATATCTCTGTGAGTTCAAGGCCAGCCTGGTCTACAAAGCATGTCCCAGGACAGCCAGAGCTGTCACACAGAGAAACCCCGTCTCAAAAAGATGGAAGTAGGGTGGGGCGGAGATGAAAAGAGAAAAGCTACAGCCTTGGCAATCAAAGCTCTGACTCTACTTGCTTTTGGTCCCTGTTTCTAGGCCCTTCCACTACGAAATGAGTAGTTTACAACTGGTGATTCCCCAAGTGTGTCCCTGGTCCAGCAGTATTAACTTTACCTCAGATCTTAGAAATGCAGGTTCTTAGGCCCCACTGTATATCTACAAAATCAAAGCTTCTGCGGGGTCAGTTGATAAAGTACACACAACCTCATGACCTGAGTTTGGGCACTGTATTGCACGCTCTGGAGACATGAGGATAGAAAGATCCCTAAGGCTTGCTCACCTCAGTCTAGCTGAATCACTGAACTATAGGTGCAGTGAGAGACTTTGTCTCAAAAAAATAAATGAGGTAGAGAGTAACTGAGGAATGTACCTGGCATTGACCTCTGACATACACACATGTACACACACACACAAGCTCTACAGGAAAAAAAGGTAGAAGTAAGCTGGAGGCTGAGTGGTTTTGTTTGTTTGTTTGTTTTTTGTTTTTGTTTTTTAACAAATACTATAGGTGCCAGGCGGTGGTGGCACACGCCTTTAATCCCAGCACTCAGAGGCAGAGGCAGGCGGATTTCTGTGAGTTCGAGGCCAGCCTGGTCTACAGAAGTTAGTTCCAGGATAGGCTCCAAAGCTACAGAGAAACCCTGTCTCAAAAAACAAAACAAAACAAAACAAAAATCCAAATACTACAGGTAATTTTGATACACGAGACATGGTTTTTTACTAAGTAGAGTTGTGCAGAGGGAATTGTTAAAGCCAGTTATGGGTAAAATTCTTAGGTAGCTTAAAAAAAAAAAGCCTATAGTTAGGGAACTGGTGAGAAAGCCAGAGCCTCTTCAGGCAATTTATATAAGTCATCTTCCTTTTTCCCTGTCTTCCTGACATGATTTAATCTATCCCTTTTTGCTGGAACAGATCCAACTCATGAGGGCACAGCAGAGGGCATGGAGAACATGGCAGATGCTGTCACTCACGCCCGTTTTGTGGGCACAGATCCTGCCAGTGATGAAGTTGTCCTGATGAAAATCCTCCAGGTAAGTGGGAGGGAAGAGCAATTAGACTAATGGCCAAGGGCTGGTGCTGCTGGCTCTACTCACCTGAGTCTGCAGGCAGCATGAAGCTGTGTTTGGACTTCACTGAAGCTTAGAGACCAACTCTGTTTCCAAACAAGGAACTCAGGTACCCAAAGTAAAAGCTTTCCTAAGGAAAATAATTGAGAGCTTTAAATGAACTGACATCAACTTCCAGAAGCCCTTACTACATGTGTGCCTCTGGTAGACTGTATCTGTCATCCATCTGTTAGGGATGGGCTAGAGCGGGAGGGAGTTATGAGCTTGTGTCCTGACCGTGCTAAGCAAAGAAACGGCTCCCAAGTCAAGCACTTGGGCGACTCTTTCAGATTGAATGATAAAAGGTCAGCACTTCATTTTTTGTTGTTGTTTTGTTTTTAGTTTAGTTTTGTTTTTTAAGGCAGAGTATCTCGTGTAGCCCTGGGTGTCGTAGAACTGTAGGACTAGGCTAACTTGAAACTCAGAGTTCTATGTACCTCTGCTAATTTTCCTGTCTTGATCTCCCAAATGTTAATATTACAAGCATGTTACATTATACCCACCCAGCTTTGAGGTCAGCATTCTTGCTAATTTACCCTGAAATCAGGCATGGTCATGCATACTTTTAATTGTAGTTCTTGGGAGACAAAAGCAGAACCTCGAGCCCAACCTGAGCTAAGTACAAGATCCTGTCTCAAAAAAAGAAAACAAACAAACAAACAAAAAACAGGAGGTAAAGAAATACTCACCTGTTTTTTGGGCAAAGCTCTTGCCTGGCATATGTAATTTGATCTCCAGCACCATTTTTTTAAAAAGAGAAAGAACTGAAAAGATAGCTCAGTTAGTAAACGGTGTACCTTGTAAGCACGAAGACCCCAATACTCATGCAAAAAGCCAGGCAAGGTGGTGAGTATACTTGTAATCCCAGGGAAGCAAAGACAGGAGGATCCTGGATCCTTGCTGCTCAGCCCATCTAGCCTAATTGCTGAGTTCCAGGTCAGTGAGAGACCCAGCCTTAAAAGAAGTTGGGGAGCCAGGCATGGTGACAAACGTCTTTAATCCCAGCATTCAGGAGGCAGAGGCAGGCAGATCTCTGAGTTTGAGGCCAGCCTGGTCTACAAAATGAGTTCTAGGACAGCTAGGGCTACACAGAGAAACCCTGTCTTGAAAAACAAAAAGAAAAAAGTTGGACCACATTTTTGAGGTTGATACTCATGTAATGATCTGGCCTCCACATGCCCATTAACACACACAAACACACATGAACATGCACACAACACGCGCGCTGGTAAGAATAATAATAAATTTACCCGGTAGGTGCCTTTTCTACCTTCAGGTAAACTTTACTCAGTCCTCTCTTTCTTTCTTTTGTAGGTTCTCCGAACTCTGTTGCTAACCCCAGTGGGTACCCACTTAACAAATGAATCTGTATGTGAGATTATGCAATCTTGCTTCCGGATTTGCTTTGAAATGAGACTTAGTGGTAGGTACTTGAATTCTAGTTCCTTCACTCTCCTGCTGGTATCTGGTATCTATGTATATAGGATGCTATCTCTGAACCCCATAGGACTAGGATTTCTCCATCATCTACCTTGGGTAACCTTGGGGATTTTGTTATGAAGCTAGAATAGAGATCTTAACCCATTGTTCCCAGGCAGGAGTAGGGATAGCTCTTAAACTGACTTGGTTACAGAGCCAAATCTCCCTTAGGGTTTCTGGGATTGACACCAATTGATAATCCAAGAAAACCCATCTAGTTGTCCCCTTTTCCTGACTCAGTACTACCACCTAGTGGTCTGATAAAGTTATAGCTACCAGGCTGAGCTGGAGCTGGTTTTAATAAGTTTGGCATAATCCTTAGTAAACACAGTTTGGAGGGGAGTCTGTTCTGAGAAGTCTCCTGATAATAGCACAGCAAGTAATGACACCTGTGTTATTTGTTTTTGCCTGTGCAGAGTTATTGAGAAAATCCGCAGAGCACACTCTCGTAGACATGGTGCAGCTGCTCTTCACAAGGTAAACCTGCTGCTGTTTGCTTCTGCCCGGCTGCCCAGGCCTCTGGAGTCTGCCTGCTTCCACACAGCCACTTTAGGGACCTGGCCAACCCTATAACCACATCAGAGGCCACTGGGATTATAGATAGCAGTAGTTCTCCAGGCCCAGGGTTACTGAGCAAGAGAGAAGGAAGAGAGCTGCTGTGGCCTCTGGGAGGCAGAGGGTTATTTAATCTCTGCTTCCCAAACTTGTGTCTGTTTCTGTGCAGGTAGCATCTGGGAAAGGGAGCCTAGAGAAGATGCCAAATTTAAGCAGCCTAGAACAGGTTGCTGAGCTTCCAGAGCTCAGCCTGATTTCTGTAAAAGAAGGGCAAGACTAGGGCAATCAAGAGTTGTGAATGCTGATTTATTGGCCCTTATCTTGGCTGGCCTAGGATTCCCTGAGTTTAGCACTTAAAACTCTATATCCTGGCAAACCCCTTAATTCCAGGGAAACCACGATTTTTGATTTTCCTAGGAAGGACTCCTTCATTCTAGAGCCCCAAGAAGTCTTTCTGTCCTAAATCTAATTGCCTATTCTATACCTCCTATCCAAAGACTCACTAGAGAAGAATTAAAGCACAACTTTTAAACCTACCGATTGCTTTTAGAGTTACTCCCTATTGTCTGCACGTTAGCCTGCCCTCCGACTCCGCTGCCAAGTTTCTTTCCCCATGGGTTTACTGCCTTTAAAACACCAGCCTGTTTTTACTTTCTCTGTGCCTAACTCTCTATCTTTTGGCTTTTAGCAGTGATTTCCAAGGATAAAAAGAACCTCCTTACTCCCAAGGGTGCTTAGTTACCCTACTCTAGTGTCTACTTTATCTATGTCTTACATGACCCACCCAGTTTCTATGGCTCTGAAGCTCTAAAAAGGATAAGATTAGCTTTTCTCTAACTAGCTTTTCGTAAGACTAAACTAAGAGACAAGGATACCATGGATCAATACACCTGTTATGACTGGCATAGAGGAGAACATTGTCATTATCCCCAGTAATAGTCATGCCATTCTCTATCTTATAGGTTACCTCAGTTTAAAGAAGAACCCAAGAGCTATGTGGGAACCAACATGAAGAAGGTGGGGTCTGAAAGTTCGTCTGCTGTTCCCTGTCCAAACTTCCTTAACTTCCAGACTCAGTGCTATGGAATACTATTAATCAGTAGCAAAGACATGATTTTGCCTAGATTGGTCTGCTTGAAATCTACAAATAGCTGTCACTCCTATAGTCAGTACTTCTCTTGCTGGCCTACCATATATGCAGATGAGCCAGCCCTTAAGGAACTGGACCAGGCTTTCAAGGCTAAGCTAAAGATTCATGTTGACAAAGATGAAAGTCTGACCATCTCCTTCTGGCTCAGTCTTGTCAGCAAGTGAGAGCCCTAGAGAGGCTGTGCCCCAACTCCTTCCTAATGCTAAATAAGATGGGACTTGCTTGCTCTAGTCTCTGTTGAAAAGATCCATTTATTCCACTATATTCCATTTACATGATTGTTACTACACAACGAGGTAAATTAACCAGCCATATAAATAACCTACAACCCTCAAGCTAAACTCCAGATCAAACTGCTAGGAATAGAATGGTGATCAGAATGGCCTCTTTCTGTTTTGAACCAAAACTCTGAACTTGTCAGACCTCTGAGGCTCTGCCTGTGGAGTGACCCTTGGCTACTAGGTGCATGCACCTGCCCTGCTCCCTTTCGTTCACCCCATTCCTGCCCTGTGCCCTGAGCTGACTTCACTCTTTTTAAACTGTCGTTTGCCTGTCTTTCACAGATCTCTCCATGTCTCCTCAGCAAACTGCAGCTAAGTAGTGGGGAGCAGACCAAAGCCCTGAACCAGTTAGAGAGGGTGCTACTCTTTAAGAACCTCAAGGTCTCTCACCCTCGCCCTCTCCTTCCCCCCTTTTATTTATTTATTTAAATGTTTAGTTTTTTGATATGTAACACTGGGTCCAATTTCTGTTGTTCATAGCACAACTTACCTACTCTAGTAACAGCTTGGCTTTTGAAGAGTTGCATGTATTTGTAGCTTTGCAGTACTGGGAATTCTCTTGGGATTTCTGGTTGCCTGGAAGCAGAATTAAGTCTTGAACATCACATAGTGAGCCTAGAGAGCCTGGGTCCTGCTATCATCTTGTGGGAGGACTTAAGCCCCACCATTTCTAGGGAAATTACAGGGACCTCAAGCAAGATTTTTCTTTCTCCTCTCCCCTGTCCCAGAGCTGGTGTTGGAGAGCTTAAGCATAGTGGTTGAGTAGGTCAGGATACCTGACTGATCTGGTGATGAAGGTGGCACATCCTGAGGGGTTTTTATTTCTTGGTTACATAAAAGGGATCACTGCAAGATTTAAGTCTCTAAGTTGATAGATAGGAACTAAGGAGCATGGCAGCCTAGGACACTGGGATTTCTTATTTGTTTATTTATTTATTTATCTTTTTTTTTTTTTGAGACAGTGTTTCTCTGTGTAACCTTGGAGCCTGTCCTGGAACTTCCTTTGTAGACTAGGTTGGTCTTGAACTCACAGAGCTCCGCCTGCCTCTGCCTCCTGAGTGCTGGGATTAAAGGCATATGCCACCACTGGTGGTGGGAATTTTCTAATATCTGCAAAGATACCCTCTGTTGTTTAAAATTCAAGATGTAGGTGAGTTTAGTGGAGGAGTAAAAGCTAAAGGTTACCTGAGCCCTTGAAAGACGATAAAGAGAGGGATGAGGGATGTCTGGGTTATCCATCACAAGAGTGTGCATGCCAGAGGTGTGATTGTGAGCATTCCTGTCATTGAAGATAAAATAACTATGTGTGAGTGTTCCCTAGCTAGGAGGATGTCTGTCCTATTTGAATGCATTGTCTCATTTTGTGTTTGCATAGTTACAAATTTCGGCTGTCTTCAGTGGCTAGCCTGCATGTTGCATGATTATTTGCCTAGGGCCTGTACTATTTTTATAAAGCTATTGCTTTATTGGAATTGTACAGAAAGGTGGCATAAGGTTCCATGAATACCTGCTGCCTTCCGTGTACCTTAGAGCCTTAGGACACGAACATAGCAACAGTGAGGCCTGTGTGAAAACTGCCAGCCTTCAGACTCCTGTACTAATCAGGAAGCCAGGAACACTCACTGAAATAACCTGCTTGGAGCTAGCTTTGCATAACACAAAGTGGAAGATAGGAAATACCAATTCTTGTGTAGAAAGAATATCCACTGGGATTGATACGGAGTTGTCTCCTAGAAAGGAGAGTTATCTCATAAACCTTTAGTTGTTTGGGCTTTCTGGAGCCTAGTGATAATGACCAGTAAGGCTAAATGGCCCTTTTGTTCTTTCATTGACCCTTTGAGTTTTGTGTTCTCTGTTTGTCTCATTCTTCTCCCAGATCAGTCTTTACCATGAATGTAATCTATCTGAACTCCAAGGTTACTGGGAAGAGCATCTTTCTGGCTCCTGCGTAGTCATAGCAGCTCAGTTTTAGACATATGATTGCAGGTGTTTTGGAGGTGGAAGGACAAGAATATGAGTCTAATGAGAAGCTAGTACTCTGCAGAACTGAGAGAAAGGTTCAGTTTGGGAGCCTCTCCTTTATTAGGAGGAGATTTGGGGAAGGAAGGAAGGAAGGAAGGAAGGAAGGAAGGAAGGAAGGAAGGAAGGAAAGTAGGAAGGAAAGTTTATCTGGTTTCCTAGTAGATGGTCAGAGACTATCAAAGCTTTATGAGGGAGCTTGAAGGAAGACTTTTATCTCCAAATCTTAGAAGAAATTGAACAGATCTTTTAACATTGAATCTAGTGGTACTAGGGATGTAGTTCAGTTGCAAGAGTCTTTGCTTGCATATACAAAGCACTGTGTTTGAGCCTCAGTACCATGTAAGTGGAGTGTGGTAGCACAAGCCTGTAATCCTAGCACTTGGGAGGTAGAAGCAGAACCCAAAGCTCAAGGTCATCCTTGGCTACATAATAATTTTGAGACCAGTCCAGGATGCATGAGGTCCTGTCTAAAAAAGTAAATAATGATAAAATAAAGGACAACTGTAAGAAGAACAAGAGGCTTTATTGCTATAACACAAATTGGGAGCAACAGCAGCAGCACTCCATTCTTAACGCCACAAATAATTGGAGTATCACTCCTTTCTCTTTAAGATAACTCTTCACCATCCATTTTAATGCAAGAACTCTAGAATAAAAGTTGTCCTTATGGTCTAGGTCCCAGTTCATGCCTTAGTGAGAAACCTTTGAATCTAGATAAGAAGAGTAGGTGCTCATATTTAGACAAGAACTAGAAGTAGGAGCTGCTCTGCAGAGTGACTGTGGAAGGAAGTCAGTCCACAGGCTTGTAGGCAAAGCTGCCCTTACCTGGTCAGCAAGAACAGTGTGTCACAGCTGGCTATATCAACGACTAGTCAAAAAGCAGAATGTTGCCTTCCATGTGGAGGCTGCTGTGTCGCTCCAAAATCTGCACATGTAGAGGCCCAGGTGTATAGTGTGGTGGTCTAGATTATCTAACAATAATTTGGGGTGTAAGCTGTTTTCTAGAGAACAGAAGGACTAAGTGCTGAGATATTTCTAGGAATAACATCTTTGTTTAAATTACTCTGTTGGTCTGGATACTAACGATGTATGATATTTCCAGCTGAAAATGAGAGCAGGAGGCATGAGTGACTCATCCAAGTGGAAGAAGCAGAAAAGATCCCCTCGGCCTCCACGTCACACAACCAAAGTCGTACCGAGTTCAGAGCTGCCCACCCCAAATGGAGCCACCTTACCTTCTAACCTTTCTAGTGAGTGCCTAGGTTGCTTCTTCTGATGAAAACAGATGGAAAAGATCCTGTCTTTCTCAGATCCTGGATTTGAAATGGAAAGCCAATCAACTGAGGGGCTTTGGTCTTTCTGCAGAAAGGGACATTGCAAATCAAATCAAACTATGACCATTTAACAACCCTGCATGACTTCAGGTCATTCCCTTTTCAGAGAGATTTCTACTACTTCAGAGGCATTTATAGATGAGTGTTGAGTCTGAGTAACAAAGCCCTGCTACTAAAGGGGATGCTTCACTCACAGAGCCTCTGCACCTTCAAGTTCCCTTCTGTTCCTTGTCAGGTGGCATGCCTTTCATTGATGTGCCCACATCCGTCTCCTCTGCAAGTTCAGAAGCTGCCTCAACAGTGGTCAGTCCCTGTACAGACAGTGGCCTGGAATTATCTTCCCAGACCACCTCCAAGGAGGACCTCACTGACCTGGAGCAAGCTGGCTCCCCAAGGGAAAGCACAGCCACAGAGCCTGGGAGAACTGAGATAGGAGTTTCTGATCAGCTTGACCCTCAGGTATGACTGACTGATTCCCTAAAGGTCCCTCTACAATTTGTTACTGTAGGAGCTGGCTTGTTCTTTTGGGTTTTGTACCCATGCTTTGTCTTAAAAGAAAGTTGGGTTGAGCATGGTAATACATGTCTTTAATCCCAGCACTTGGGAGGCAGGTGGATCTCTGTGAGTTTGAGGCCAACCTGGTCTATACATTGAGTTCTAAAGCAGCCAAAACTACACAGAGAAACTCTATCCTGAAAGAGAGAGAGAGAGATTGAGAGTGGGGGGGGGAGAAGGAGGAAGATTTTGATAGGGAATTTTCCCATTTCTCAGAATCATATTTGCTGCTCAGAAAACACATAGCATGACTTGCTGTGAAAAGGCGCTCGTAAGATTTATCAGAGTGTACCTATATTGGTAGGTAGTATCTGACCAAAGGGAAGGAAATGGCTTTTACAGGAAGGTAATCATCTAAATCCTGAGCATATGAAAGCCTTTGCACCTGTAGAGTACTGTCACCCTAGATTGGTGTTGTTCATAAATAAGTTCATAAATCAATGACCTGTGGTCCATTGAAGACAGTTTGGAAGACACATCCTTCAGGAGAATAAGTTCTAAGTTGTTCTTACCTCATCTTTGTTTTTGTATCTGGCTATGACCGGTCATATCAGGAAGGGGCCCATGTGGAAAAGGCCCAGTCAGCATCGGTGGAATCTATCCCTGAAGTGTTGGAGGAGTGCACATCCCCTACTGACCACTCTGCCTCTGCCTCTGTCCATGACATGGATTATGTCAATCCTCGGGGCGTTCGCTTTACCCAGTCCTCCCAGAAGGAAGGTAGGAACTCTCTGGAAGGCTCTGTCCATTCATCTGCCCCAACCTACCAGATACATTTCTGAGCCTAGACTAGCTTGAATGAAGCTGACTACCACCTCTGTGTCCCATTTTTAGATAGGAAATGGAATCAAGGTATAAAACTATTGGCATGGATAGAAACTTTCCCTGAGTCATTCAGAGAAGGACTTTGGGAAACTATAGGAAGAAAGAAGGAACAGTGTGTGTATGTGTGTGTGTATCTATCTTGGGACTTTTAACAAAAAATCCTTGATTCTGATTTCATCCAATAAGATCCTTCTCCTTGAAGGAAATTATTTTTCTGAAATTGCCACATATAGGGGCTGGAAGGTGACTTAGTGGGTGAGATTGCTTTTCTGCATGCATGAAGACCTGAGTTCAAATCCCTGACACTCATATAAAGAGCTAGGTGTGGCTGCATATTCCTGTAACCCTAGCATTGGGTGTGCAGACATGTGGGTCCTGAGAGTTTCCAATTCAACAAGACACCCTGTTTAAGGCAGTGAAACAGAGCAAGACATCTAACATCCTGCTGTGGCCTCCTACAGATACTCAGGCACGTACAGCTGCACACTACACATGCACGTGCATGTACCACACACATACACATGACACTCACCCCCCCAAGCACCTCCCCACATACACTACAAGTTTTTCTCATGAGTAACACAGATCCAAGTGTTGTCAAGCAGCCAGGATATATCTTAGTGTTCCTGTTCTCTTCCCACCTTCTCAGGCACAGCTTTGGTTCCTTATGGTCTTCCTTGTATCCGTGAGCTCTTCCGCTTCCTTATCTCCCTCACAAATCCACATGACCGCCACAACTCTGAGGTTATGATCCACATGGGACTGCATTTGCTGACAGTGGCTCTTGAGTCAGCCCCTGTAGCCCAGTGCCAGACCCTCTTGGGCCTCATCAAGGATGAGATGTGTCGCCACTTATTCCAGGTAAGACTAGATTGCTCAGGGTTGGAGAGGTGGCTCGGCAATTGAGAACACTGGCTGCACTTTCAGTGGTTCCGGGTTTGATTCCCAGCACCCACATGGCCACTCATACCTAGCTGTCTGTAACTCCAGTTCCAGGGAATCCAACTCCCTCACACAGCATATGTGCAGGCAAAAACACCAATGCACATAAAATAAAAATAAATAAATCATTTTTTTTAAAAAGACACTGGCGGGAAAAAAGTGACTAGAGACCTTGTTTACTTTTTGAGATTGAGAAGCCAGAGACCCTGTGATCATGATCCTAAGAAACTACCTCCCTTTCAGTTGACCAGAAATCACAATAAAAGGCTTCCAATAACTCTCCAAGGAGTTAAAGAAGGAATGGCTAAATTGAGGCTCTGTTAGAATCCCAGGTGTGTTGGTAGTACCTATAATCCAGCACTTGGGAAGGAGGGGCAGGAAGATAAGGAATTCAAGGTTATTCAGCCACATAGTGAGTTGGAGACCAGCCTGAGCTACATGAAATCCTATCTCAGAAAAACAAAATCAGGCAGCATGAAAGCTCAGCAGGTAAAAGCATGTACTATCAAACCTGACATGCTGGGTCTGATTCCTGATAGGTAGCAGGTGGACAGAGAACCAGCTACCATCGGTTGTACCTTTTCATGTGTGTCCCTGCTCCACCTCTTACACACAAATAAATAAATGTAAAACAACATTTTTTAAAAGCAAACAGCAAAGAAGAGCAACACAAAAGAATTCCCTTACAACGCAGGCCCTCCATGGCAGCTTCACTAGTCTGCTCTCGTGTATCTTTTGGTTCAGTTACATTCAACCTCAGAAATCTCATGACTTCTCACTCTCTGATCCCCAGCTACTCAGTGTAGAACGACTGAACCTGTATGCTGCTTCCCTACGGGTATGCTTCTTACTGTTTGAGAGCATGCGGGAGCATCTCAAGTTCCAATTAGAGGTAAGTTACTTGACCCTGGAAGTAAAACCAAAAGCAGGAAACTGGAAACTGGATGGAATTGTCAGTGGAGCCTGCTCAATCAATCATGCTATAGACATAGATTTTTTAAATTTTTACTTATTCTTCTCTCATACAGTATATCCTGATTGCAGCTTCCCCTCCTTCCACCCTTCCTAGTTTCCCCCACATCTCCCCTTTCCCTCAGATCCACCTACCCCCTGTTTTCCCCCAAAAAAGAACAGGGATATCAACAATAAGACCAGGCACAAACCTTCACATCAAGACTGGGTGAGGAAACCTGGTAGGAGGAAAAGAGTCAGAGACATTCTCACTCCCACTGTCAGGAGTCTCCCCAAAACACTAAGCCAACAACCATAACATATATGCAGAGGATCTAGCTCAGACCCAGAGTCTGGAATTACTGCTTCAGTCTCTGTGACTGAACCCCATGAGTTCTGCCTAGTTTATTCCACGGACCATGCTCTCCAATGTTGTCAACCCCTCTGTCTCCCACTATTCCATCTTTCTCTCTTCCTTGGAGTTTTCCAAGCTCCAAGGGGAGGAACCTAATAAAGACCTTCAACCTGGCCTCTCTTTCCACCTAATGCTTGGCTGTGGGTCTCTACCTCTGCTCCCATCAGCTGCAGGGGGTAGCCTCTCTGGCGACAACTGAACTAGGCACTAATCTATAATTTTGCAGAACATTCTTAGGAATCATTTCATTGATTTTTTTTTCCCCAGTCCTGTTTGGTTATACCCTAGGCTATCTGGGCTATCCAGCTTCTGGGTCCTGGTGATCAAGGCAGTGTTGTGCATGAGCTCTTTCTTGTGACATGGACCTCAAATTAGACCAATGATTGGTTGACCGTTCCTACAAGTTCTGCTCCACCATTGCCCCAGCACATCTTGCAGGCAGGACAGATTGTAGGTCAAAGGTTTTGTGGCTGAATTGGTGTCCCAGTTCCAGCACTGAAAGCCTTGCCTGACTAGGAAAGATGGCCAGTTCAGGTTCTGTATCCCCCATTTTCTAGGAGTCCTTACTAGGGTCACCTTCATGGATTCTAGGGAGTTTCCACTGCATTAGATTTCTACATCATCCCCAAAATGATTTCCAAGTCTAGTTGGCTCTCCTATACTCTCCACACGCACACCTGATCCCTCCTATTCTTATCCCTACCCACCCCTAGTACATCCACAAAATTTATTCTATTTCCCATTCCCAGGGAGTTCCATTTGTTCCCCCCAGAGCCCTCCTTGTTATTTAGCCTCTCTGGGTCTGTGGATTGTAGCATGAGTATCATTTCCTTAGCAGCTAATATCCACTTATAAATAAGTACATACTATGTTTGTCTTTCTGGATCTGGGTTATTTCACTCAGGATGATTTCATGATGTCATATTTTTAACTGCTGAGTAATACTCCATTATGTAAATGTATCGCATTTTCTTTATCCATTCTTCAGTGGAGGGGCATCTAGGTTGTCTCCAGGTTCTGACTGATATGAATAAAGCTGCTATGAACATAGTTGAGCAAGTGTCGTTGTGGTATGATTGAGCATCCTTTGGGTATATGCCCTAGAGTGGTATAGGCTGAGTCTTGAGGTAGATTGATTCCCAGTTTTCTGAGGAACCACCATACTGATTTCCATAGTGGTTGTAGAAGTTTGCACTCCTACCAGCAATGAAGTATTGTTCCCCTTGCTCCACATCCTTGATAGGATGGGCTGCCACTTGTATTATTGATTTTAACCATTCTTTCAGGTGTAAGATGCATCTCAAAGTCATTTTGATTTGTATTTCCCTGGTGGCTAAGGATATTGAGCATTTCTTTAAATGTTTCTTTCTTTCTTTTCTTTTTATTTTTCTTTTTTGTTTTTGTTTTGTTTTTTGGTTTTTGGTGTTTTTTTGGGTTTTTTTTTTTTTTTTTTGGTTTTGGTTTTTCAAGACAGGGTTTCTCTGTAGCTTTGGAGCCTGTCCTAGAACTAGCTTTTGTAGACCAGGCTGTCCTTGAACTCGGAGATCCACCTGCCTCTGCCTCTTGGTGAGTGCCTGCTCTCAGTGTTCTGTTCAGGAAGTTCTTTCCTGTGCCAATGCATTCAAGGCTATTTTTCACTTTCTCTTCTAGCAGGTTCAGTGTATCTGGTTTTATATTGATGTCTTTGATCCACTTGGACTTGAATCTTGTGCAGGGTGATAGATATGAATCTATTTGCATTCTTCTCTATGCATACATTCAGTTAGACCAGCATCATTTGTTAAAAGATGCTTTCTTTTTTTTCCATTCTATCTTTCTGGCTTCTTTATCAAAAATCAAGTGTTCCTAGATGTGTGGATTAATGTCTGGGTCTTCAGTTCTATTCCATTGAATATGTCTGTTTTTATGCCTATACCATGTGATTTTATTTACTATAATTCTGTAATATAGCTTGAAATCAGGGATGGTGTTACCTCCAGAAGCTCTATTATTATTCAGGATTGTCTTAGCTATTCTGGGCTTTTTATTTTCCCACATGAAGTTGAGTATTATCCTTTCAAGGTCTGTAAAGAATTTGTTAGAATTTTGATGGGGATTGTGTTGACACTGTAGATTGCTTTTGATAAGATGGCCTTATGTTAGTTAATCCTACTGACCCATGAGCATGAGAGATTTTTCCATCATCTGCTATCTTTTTTCAATTTCTTCAAATCTTTGGAGTATTTGTCATACAAGTCTTTTACTTGCTTGGTTAGAGTTACCCCAAGATACTTTACATATTTTGTGGCTATTATGAAAGGTGTTGTTCCCCTGGTTTCTTTCTCAGCCCATTTATCATTTGTATATAGGAGGGCTACTGATTTTTTTGAGCTAATCTTGTATCCAGCCACTTCGCTGAAGGTGTTTATTAGCTGTTAGAGTTTTCTGGTAGAATTTTTGGGGTTGCTTATGTATACTCTTATATTATCTTCAAATAATGATACTTTGATATCTTCCTTTTCAATTTGTATCCCTTTGGTCTCCTTTGGTTGTCTTATTGCTGTAGCTAGAACTTCAAGTACTATATTAAATAAAAATAGAGAGAGTGGACAGCCTTGTCTTGTTCCTGATTTTAGTGAAATTGCTTTGAGTTTCTCTCCATTTCATTTAATTTGATGTTGGTTATAGGTTTGCTGTAAATTGCCTTTATTATGTTTAGATATGTCCCTTGTATCCCTTAAGGGGTGTTGGATTTTATCAAAGACTTTTCAGCATCGAATGAGATGAGCATGTGGTTTTTTTCTTTCAGTTTTGTTTATATGGTATATTACATTCACTGATTTTCATGTATTGAACCATCCCTGCATCTCTGGGATGAAACCTACTTGATTATGGTAGATGATCTTTTTAATGTGTTCTTGGATTCGGTTTGCAAGTATCTTATTTAGTATTTTTGCATTTATGTTCAAGAGGGAAATTGGTCTGTAATTCTCTTTGTTGAATCTTTGTGTGGTTTGGGTATCAGGGTAACTGTAACCTCATAAAATGAATTTGGCAATGTTCCTTCTGTTTCTATTTTGTGAAATGGTTTGAGGAATATTAGTATTAGTTCTTCTTTGAAAGTCTGGTAGAATTCTGTGCTAAAACTGTCTGGCCCTGGTTTTATTTTTGTTTTTGTTTTTTGCTTTTGTGGGGAGGTTTTTAATTCTATTTCCTTAAATTGTTTCTCTCATCTTGATTTAACTTTGGTTAGTGGTATCTATTGAAAAAATTGTCCATTTCTTTTAGATTTCCCGTTTTTGTGGAGTACAGGTTTTTAAAGTATGACCTAATCTTTGTATTTCTTCAGTGTCTGTTGTTATATCCCCATTTTCACGACTGATTTTATTGTTTGTATATTCTCTGTCTGTCTTTTAGTTAGTTTGGATAGGGTTTGTCTATCTTGTTGATTTTCTCAAAGGACCAGATCTTTGTTTAATTCTTTGTATTCTTCTCTGTTTCTAATTTATTGATTTCAGCCCCCAATTTTATTATTTCCTGCCATCTACTCCTCTTGAGTGTACTTGCTTCTTTTTTTTTTTTTTTTTGGAGAACTTTTGGGTATGTTGTTAAGTTGCTAGTATGAGAGCTCTCCACTTTCTTTCTGTAGGTACTTAGTGCTGTGAACTTTCCTGTTAGCACTGTTTTCATGGTGTCCTATAGATTTGGGTATGTTGTGTATTCAGTTTCATTGAATTCTAGAAAGTCTTTAATTTCTTTCGTTATTTCTATCTTGACCCAGTTTTCATTCAGTAAAGAGTTGTTCAACTTCCTAAGTTTGTAGGCTTTCTGTTGTTTCTGTTGTTGAAATCCAGCTCTAACTCATGGATGCATGGGTTATTTCAGTTTTCTTTTCATCTGTTGTGACTTACTTGTGACTGAGAATGTGATCAGTTTTGGAGAAAGTTCTGAGAAGGAGGTGTATTCTTTCATGTTTGGGTGAAATGTTCTGTAGATATCTGTTAAGTCCATTTGATTTATTTGTTTGTTTGCTTTTTGAGACAGGGTTTCTCTGTAGCTTTGAGGCCTATCCTGGAACTAGCTCTTGTAGACCAGGCTGGCCTTGAACTCACAGAGATCTGCCTGCCTCTGCCTCCCTAGTGCTGGAATTAAAGGCATGTGCTGCCGAGACACTACCACTACCACCACCACCACCCCTGGCAGGTCCATTTGATTTATAATGTCTGTTAGCTCCAGTGTTTCTTTGTTTAGTTTTTTGGCAGGATGACGTGTCTGTTGGTGAGAGTGAGAAACTGAAGTTTCCCACTATCTATCTATATGTGAGGGTCTATGTGTGAGAGTGAGAAACTGGTTTCCCACTATCTATCTCTATGTGAGGGTCTATGTGTGAGAGTGAGAAACTGAAGTTTCCTACTATCTATCTATATGTGAGGGTCTATGTGTGAGAGTGAGAAACTGAAGTTTCCCACTATCTATCTATATGTGAGGGTCTATGTGTGAGAGTGAGAAACTGAAGTTTCCCACTATCTATCTGTGTGTGAGGGTCTATGTGTGAGAGTGAGAAACTGAAGTTTCCCACTATCTATCTATATGTGAGGGTCTATGTGTGAGAGTGAGAAACTGAAGTTTCCCACTATCTATCTCTATGTGAGGGTCTATGTGTGAGAGTGAGAAACTGAAGTTTCCCACTATCTATCTATATGTGAGGGTCTATGTGTGAGAGTGAGAAACTGAAGTTTCCTACTATCTATCTATATGTGAGGGTCTATGTGTGAGTTAAGCTTTAGTCATGTTTCTTTTACATTTGTTGGTGTCCTTGTGTTTGGGACATAGGTGTTAGAAATTGAAATATCATCTTGGTGGATTTTTCCATTCCTTTGAGTATAAAGTATTCTTCCCCATCTCTTTTGATTTTTTTTTTGAGACAGGGTTTCTTTGAACTAGCTCAGGCTGGCCTCAAACTCACAGAGATTCACCTGGCTTTGCCTCCTGAGTACTGAAATTAAAGGCCTGCACCACCACTACCCAGCATTAATTTTTCCTTTCTGAGACAGGGTTTTTCTGTAACAGCCCTGGCTATCCTGGAACTCACTTGTAGACCAGGCTGGCCATGAACTCAGAGATCTGCCTGCTTCAGCCTCCTGAGTATTGAGATTAAACATGTATGCCACCATGCTCTTTTAATTAATTTTGGTTTGAAGTCTATTTGTTAGATATTAAAATGACTCTACAAACTTGCATCTTAGGTTCATTTGCTTGGAAAATTGTTTTCCAACACTTTACTCTGAGGTAATGTCTATCTTTAATTTTGAGGTGTATTTCTTGTATGCAGCAGAAGGATGGATCCTGTTTTCCTATTCATTCTGTTAGTCTTTGTCTTTTTTGGGGGAATTGAGTACATTGATGTAGAGAGATACCAATGCCCAATGAATGTTAATTCCTGTTATTTTGTTTGTAGTGTCATTGGTGATGTGTGTATGTGTGTGTGTCTGTACTTCCCTTCTTTTGGTTTTGTTAGTGTGAGATTATTTGTTGTCTCTGTCTTGTGTATAATTTTAACCTTCTTGGGTTGGAGTTTTCCTTCTAGTACCTTCTGTAGGGCTGAATTTATAGATAGATATTATTTAAATCTGACTTTATCATGAAATATCATGTTTTCTCCATCTATGTTGATTGGTTTTGCTGAATATAGTAGTCTGGGCTGCCATCTGTGTTCTCTTAGAGTCTGCTGACATCTGTTCAGATCCTCTGGCTTTTACAGTCTTCATTGAGAATTTGGGTGTAATTCTAATAGATATTCCTGTATATGTTACTTGTTCCTTTTCCCTTGCAGCTTTTAATATTCTTTCTTTGTTCTATATGTTTAGTGTTTTGATTATTATGTGGTGGGAGGAATTTCTTTTCAGGTCCAATCTATTTGGTGTTCTGTAAGCTTCTTGTACCTTTATAGGCATGTCTTCTTTCGGTTGGGAAAATTTTCTTCTGTGATCTTGTTGAAAATATTTTCTGGGGGCAGGAGAGATAGCTCAGTGGTTAAGAGCCCTGGCTGCTTTTCCAAAGTATCTGGGTTCTATTCCCAGCACCCACACGGCAGCTCACAGATATCTGTTATTTCAGTTCAGGGGGACCCTATGCTCTCACATAGACATACATATGAACAAAACACTAATCACATAAAATAAAAATAAATAAATCATTAAAAAATATTTTCTGGGCCTTTGAGCTGGGATTCCTCTCCTTCTTCTGTTCCTATTATTCTTAAGTTTGGTCTTTTCATAGTTTCCCAGATTTTTGGATGTTTTGTATCAGGAATTTTTTAGATTTAACATTTTCTTTGACTGATGTATCTATTTATTCTATCAATATATTCAGCGCCTGGGATTCTTTCTCCAATCTCGTGTGTTCTGTTGTTTCTAGTTCTTGTTCGCTTACCTGGATTTTCTTTTTCCAGAATTCCCTCAATTTGTGTTTTCTTCATTGCTTCTATTTCCATTTTCATGTCTTGAATAGTTTTGTTTGCTTCAAGTGTTTGTTTTGTTTTGTTTTTGCTTTCTTTAAGGGATTTATCCATATTCTCCAATTTTTTTGTTTGTCTTTTCCTCAATTTCTTTAAGAGATTTATTCATTTCTTCTTTAAGGGCCTTATTTCCATAATGTTGGTTTTAAGGTGTCTTTCTTGTGCTTCAACTGTGTTGGAATATTCAGAATGTGCTGTGGTAGATAGCTGGACTCTCGTGAAGACAAATTGCCTTGACTGTTGTTAATTGTGTTTTTACACTGGCGTCTGGGTTTGGGATGATTCTAGATCTAGGTGCTGATTTTTCAGTTTGTCTTTGTTGCCTGTTTTCTCTCTGGTCTTCTGGCCAGAGTGGCCTGTGGTTGAGCAGCAGGCCATCACCTGAGTTAGGGATGGACTTCTGGCAGCCAGTGTGGCCTGGTCAAGCAGACGGTCTCTGCCCAAGTTGGGGGCCGAGACACAGCAATGAGGATTAGAGATAGGATAGGGTAGCACCAAGAAAGTGGGGAAGATCTGCTGGCAGACATCCTACCTGGACTTCTGGTGGCCGGTGTGACCTCTGGTTGAGCAGGGTATCTCCATCTAAGTTGGGGGCTGGGACACAATAACGACAAGGTAGAGGGGGAATTGGGCACCAAGAGAGTTGGAGGTCCACTGACAGGGGGTCCTACCTGGACTTCTGACTGCTGGCATGGCCTCTGGTCAAGCAGGGTGTCTTGGCCCAAATTTGGGGCTGGGATATTACAGTGGTGCGGGAGTTGGGGATAGTGTGTTGGAGGCACCAAGAGAGTGAGGGGGAGCTCTGAGGGCGGGAGGCCTGTCTCTAGAGAGAGATTTTTATGAGCTTCCTGTAGAGGGTATGTTGGCCTCCATACTTTGTGTCATTCACTAGCCAATGTAGTAGAATAATTAAGAGGATACCAGAAAAAAAAAACCTGATTAATTATAATGTAGGAAAACACACAACTGGGCATGGTGGCGCATGCCAATAATCCAAACACTTAGGAAGCTGAGACAAGATTTCTGCGAGCTGAAGGCCAGCCTGGGCTACAGAACAAAACTGGTTTTTAAAGAGTGTGAGAATCCAAATATGAGGACTGGCAGGTAATTTCACCATGAATGGGACAACTTTTCTGCCTAACAGTGCTTCTAAGTCAAGCCAGCATTGCTGCTAAATTGCCAAAATAGGATTAGGGTAGGGCTCATATAGACAGCACACAAAAAAGGGCAAAAGACAGCTTCTTTGAGACAGGGAATAGGAATAAGAGCCTTATCACCCATCATGGAGACAAGGAGGAGATATATTATTGGGGATAGAGGACCTTTTGGTGTCTTTTGAGGCATGCCTCCTAAGTGGGCTTTTACTACCTGTTTAATTTTGTTCCTGTCCAATTTTTTCTCCCTATCTTTGCCCCACCCAAATGCTTGTCATTGGGTTGTTGACAGATGTACATCAAAAAACTCATGGAAATCATCACTGTTGAAAATCCCAAGATGCCTTATGAGATGAAGGAGATGGCGCTGGAGGCCGTTGTGCAGCTCTGGCGCATTCCCAGCTTTGTCACTGAGCTCTACATCAACTACGACTGTGACTACTACTGCTCCAACCTCTTTGAAGACCTCACCAAACTGCTGTCCAAGGTGCTGAGCACTATTACTGGCCTCTAGAAGCTACCAAGAAGTTTCCCAGATGGTAGTGAAGATGGTACAGAGAGGGGGTACTTCAGAGATAGGGAACAGGAAGGAGGAAGAAATTTTGTAAGGGCAATGGAGAAGTCCTAAGTTTTTGGATTTTTGGAAAAATAATCAGGTGAAGAATATTCTAACTTCAAGTCTCATGGGATCTGTTTATTTTCCAGAATGCCTTTCCTGTGTCTGGTCAGCTTTATACAACACACCTACTGTCCCTTGATGCCCTGTTGACAGTTATTGACAGCACTGAGGCTCACTGTCAGGCCAAAGTCCTCAACACCCTCACCCAGCAAGAGAAAAAGGAGACAGTCAGACTCGACTACGAGGCAGTGGATGGCACCCAAGAAACTAACAATAGTTAGAAGCATCTCTTATTGTTCTTTTTCTTTTTCCTTTCTTTTTTCCCTTCTCCTCCCTTGCCCTTCTTACTTTGTGTTGAATGTGCCCTATCATGGCTGGTGCCCAGTATAAGAACATATAGCTCTTTTCGGCTTAGGACTCAACCTCTTCTTCAGTACTGCTTGGCTTCCTAGTCATAAGTCTTCACGTCTCTTCCTTTACCAGCTGAGAAAGGAGCCATTGAGGGGAAAGCCGCAGGCATGGCCTCAGATGCCCTAGGCCTTCAACGTCCAAGTGGAGGATGGCTGTCAGCAGAACATGGGAAACCAGGATGCAATGATGTGGAGGAAGCCGGTGACTCTGGGGGTGGGTACTCAGTGTCCATGACTCTAAACACCTTCAACTAGATAGAGAGAAGGAGAAGTGGGAGGTATGGGGAAACTGGGTGGCCTAACGTCATACCTGAAAGAGCCCTAGCAGTTCACCTTGTTTTAAACCCCAGAGAAAGGAAAGAAAACAGAGTCCCAGGAGGTAAAATTTCTAGCAGGTAGGAGGCTGTAGAGAAGGAAATCTCTGAGTCTGCTCTGTTTTTACTGGGGTGAGTATCAGTAACCTTGTGAAAGATCTTACAGGTTTCCTCCTCCTTCTTTTGTTCCTAGCTGACAAAAAGTTCTCCAGGAAGCCGCCTCGATTTTCCTGTCTTCTGCCAGATCCACGGGAACTAACTGAAATTAAAAACAAAAAAAAGGTATGTACATACAAAAATACATTCCCATGTGTTCAAGTGTGTGCACCCTTGTGTGGGGTCCTCTGTAGAATTGGTTTCTGTCCCAGAGGAAAAGGATGAGGATGCTCTTAGTACCTCATTATCTGGCTTCCAAGGCTAGTCTGTAGTTCATCTGGAATTGCAGCAACTGCTCCCGCTCTTTTTCTTACACTCAAGCTGTGCTGTTGTTGGCCTCTGAGCAGAGCTCCTTTAGCCCACAGTGAGAGACTCCTAGTGGTGGTGACAGAAGCTTTGGAGGCTACTGTCACGTCGGTCAGCAAAGGTTATCATTCATCTCTAGGTCTAGCATGGTGATTGGTAGTAAAAGGGAATTGATATTTATTCTGGTGCTTTAGTAAAGTACAAATAGCTGTTTGTTTATGGTTTTCTTCTTCATTTGGAAAGATAAAAAATTCTAATTATTTATTGCCCTGGTTTCTTTTTTTTTTTTTTTCTTTTGGTTTTTCAAGACTGGGTTTCTCTGTAGCTTTGGATCCTGTCCTGTCCTGGAACTAGCTCTTGTAGACCAGGCTGGCCTTGAACTCACTCTGCCCCCGAGTACTGTGCTTAAGGCGTGTGCCACCACCACCTGACTTCTTTTTTGTTTCTTTTGTCTTTTCTTTCTTCCCCAGCAGCAGGTATCAATTGTAAATAGCTTCTTGACTAAGGGAGGAAGTTTTTGGTTTTCTTAACGTAAAACTTCTAGTTAGTCCTTTCTTTCTCTTTTAAATATATTTGGTTGCAGGTCTGTAACTAGGCGTACGGGCTGAAAAGAGATCATTTAGTCTGCCTTATCTTTCAAACCCAGGACCTTAGAAACAAGGCAGCCCAAGAAAGAAGGAGACTCTCACTCCTTCTATTCCATGATGCTGGCTGTCCATAGATGCCAGAGATGGCTACAGAGCTGAAGAGAAGGCCACACTAGTTTGCCTCCTCTCTGTCTTCCTGATCTGTCATTAGAGGAAGGGAGGTGGCTCTGGTCATCTGCACCACTCAGAAAGAAGTAGGAAGGAACTCTCCAGAAAGTTTCAGTGAGATGGGAAGATGGGGAAAATCTTAGGCCGATACAACCTAGTGTCAGCTATAGAATTAATAAGAACCGTATTAGGTGAACAGCTGTAGGCTACAGTAGAGTCTAGCCTGCCTGTCTGACTGGCAGGCACAGCAACTTCTGATGCCTCTAGTCTTTGTCTTCTAGTTGCTGATTACTGGCACAGAGCAGTTTAATCAAAAACCAAAGAAGGGGATCCAGTTTCTACAGGAAAAAGGCCTCCTCACCATTCCAATGGATAACACAGAGGTGGCCCAGTGGCTCCGAGAGAACCCTCGACTAGACAAGAAAATGATTGGAGAGTTCGTGAGCGACCGCAAAAACATTGACCTATTGGAAAGTTTTGTGAGGTGAGGAAGAAATAAACTGCGTGGGGATTGGAAAGAAGAAAGGAAGGAGGAGCTGTCTGAAGGGATAGGGCATTCTTCCCTCTAAGGAAGTCCCTGCCAGTTCCTGCTGATGACTAGCTCACATAATATTCTTGTCTTTTCCTATGACGCATATCTGTTGAACCCGAAAGGGATGCAGGCTTTAGCAACCCTCCCCTATGTTCCAATGGAAAGCATTGCAAAGTGGCATAGAGCAGGGTTGTGAGAGGTGAGCTCTCTAGACAAGAGTTTTGCTAATGTAAGTGCTAAGGTTAGGAATTTTGTTAGGAATGACCAGGCTATACCATTCCTTTGCCAGAGCTATCAGCCTCCTCTGCTTCACTAAGAGAAGGTTATGAAGACAGTCAGCTTAACCTGTGCAGCTTCCATGCCTCCAGTCTCTTCATTCTGTTTTCTCTCTGTAGCACCTTCAGCTTTCAGGGTCTGCGTCTTGATGAAGCTCTCCGACTCTACCTGGAAGCCTTCCGTTTGCCCGGGGAAGCACCAGTTATTCACAGGTTGCTGGAGGCATTCACAGAGCATTGGAGGGTAGGTCTAGTGTCAAAAATTCAGTCAAGGGTCCTGATCAGTTTTAGGGCTTCTTTGTTCTCTCAGCTAAAAACCTCAACTCCTAAGAAGGTTCAGAATCCACCAAGTGGGCTTTCCGTGGAGAAACTTTAGTTAAGGAGTTGGCAAGAACTTGACCATTTTCTGGCTGATAGTCCAACTTGTAAACCAACACTGACCAGTGGGTTGGTAATAGCAAGGATATAATTGGCCAGAAACGGACATTTGTCTTTGATTTTTCAGAACTGTAATGGCTCCCCATTTGCCGATAGCGATGCCTGCTTTGCCCTTGCCTATGCTGTCATCATGCTTAACACTGACCAGCACAACCACAATGCTCGCAAACAGAATGCACCGATGACCTTGGAGGTAAGCTTGGACTCCAGCCAAGACAGAGATGATCCAGTACAGCTTTAAAAGTAACAAGAAAGATAAGGGAAATTTCCAGTTTATATGGGAGACAGAGTTCTGTCAAGGGTCTCAGGGAGGGCTGACCAATTCAGAAGAGGGACTGGGAAGGAGAATGGGTTCTTTCACTTAATTGTTTCCAAAGTCCTATTTATCACAGACTTAAGGAGTTCCTTGGGTGGTATACAGCATTAACACAAGGGAAAACATACTGGCCTATCTCTAGGATTTTCGAAAAAACCTAAAAGGTGTGAATGGAGGCAAGGACTTTGAGCAAGACATCCTGGAGGACATGTACCATGCCATCAAGTGAGTATCTGTGGAGAGTAGTGTAGCATCTCTGCTATAGAGAAATACATTGCTTCTTTTTCCTGTTTTTAGAGTCACTTCAGACTGCAGTGACTCTCATGCCCTGGATTTAGCTTTGAGACATACCTGGGCAGCCTCCTCTGTGACAGATCATTTCTTGTTTAAAGAAGCCTGAACCCAAGAATAGACCTCCAGGATTCCTTAGGGTCCATACAAATTGACTCTCTTGTGTGTATGTGTGTTTACAGACATGTTTGGTACCAGGGACTGAACTAAGAATGTGTTTCTTTGCAGAGCTACATCTCCAGTTCAAACGATTCCTCTTAAGTGAGGTATCATGAGTCTATTTCCTGATCCCAAATTACCTGGTTTTGCTGGAGAACTCACAAAATGCATTCTCTGGTTTGTAGAGTCATTATGCCCAGTACTAGAAGGTAGCTTAAGTCAGAGATAGGAAACTTAGTTGTTTTGGTAATGTTTTGAAACAGAGTCTCATATAGCTCCAGATTGCCTCAAACTTTCTGTGTAGCTGAGTTTGACCTTTGAACTCCTGATCTTGCATTGGTCTACCAAGTGCTAGAGTTATAGATATGTGCACCATATCTATATTGTTAGTTCTTTATAATAAATTAGAAAAGGTGGATGTTTATGCCTCTACCCAGAAAGAATGTGAACTCTGAAGGCTTAGAGATGGGACTGTGAGATTATGAATATATTACACTCTCTCCCTTGCCCAGAGGTGGGCTGCAAACAGATCACTTAGCTGCGGCTGTGATAACCTCATAGAATGGAGACACTTATAGAGGTGAAACCCCTTTTCTTAGTTTGGAAGCAGCATGTTCACAGGAGTGCATCTAGTTCTCTTCCCCTCTGACAGGAATGAGGAGATCGTGATGCCTGAGGAACAGACAGGCCTGGTCCGTGAGAACTATGTCTGGAGTGTGCTGCTTCATCGAGGTGCTACCCCTGAGGGCATATTCCTTCGCGTCCCTCCTGGCAGCTATGACCTTGACCTCTTCACTATGACCTGGGGCCCCACTATTGCTGCTCTCTCTTATGTCTTTGATAAAAGCCTTGAGGAGACCATCATCCAAAAAGCCATCTCAGGCTTCAGGTAGCCCAACCTTGGCCTTGGTCTTCCTGTCTTTCCATCTCACTAAGTTAACATGGGCTTGCCCCCATGCCTCTTTGACTCAGAATGGGATGTCTCCTGATTTTCTAGAGGGAGGCTGGAGCCTGGGAAATCTCAATCTTAAACAGACTGGAGTTAAAGATTTCTTTCTGTGATCCATTGGGGAAGAACCAATAGGAAGCTGCTTAGGAACTTAAGAGGGCTGAGTGGCCTTCCAGTGACTGTTTCTGTCATGGGGGTGACATTACAGGAAGTGTGCCATGATCTCCGCCCACTATGGCCTCAGCGATGTGTTTGACAATCTCATCATCTCTCTGTGCAAGTTCACAGCTCTCAGTAGTGAGGTGAGTTGGAGCAGAAACTATGCTTAGAGCCCCAAAGGAGAACAATCAGCCACGGAGGCTGCATCCACCATATGTACCCACTTGAACAAGCTTAGGCCATTTCTGTCTGGCAAGTTCTGGAATGAGAATAGTGCCATCTTATGTAGTGGGATTGGGGAGGAGATACCATAGGAAGACCTTGGTCAGGTTGACCTTTCCCACTAATATTATAGGGAGCTTGAAGCATATCTAGCAGACAGACTGTCAGGGAACCATAGGCAGAGAGACCTGAAAGAGCCTCCTTTCCAGACATGAACCAACCTAAGCCTCTTGACATCCACCTTTCCAGTCTATTGAGAACCTGCCCAGTGTGTTTGGAAGCAACCCTAAAGCTCACATTGCAGCCAAGACAGTATTCCATTTGGCCCATCGTCATGGTGACATCCTTCGGGAGGGCTGGAAGAATATCATGGAGGCTATGCTGCAGCTCTTCCGAGCCCAACTTTTACCCAAGGCTATGGTGGAGGTAATCCTTCCTCCTCCCCTTCTTCCTCCCCCCTCCTCCCCCACCATCTTCCTTTCTTTCCTTGTTTCTTCCTTTCTTCCTTTCTTTCTTCTATGTTTCTTTTGCATCATGTATCTTGATCCCATTCATTTCCCCATCCCTTCGCATCTGCCCTCTGCCCCTGCACTGCCCCCCAAATAAAACAAAATGTAAGAGAAAAGGGGGGGAAATAATGGAAGCTTCAGTGTGACATAGTGAGTCATGCTGTAAACCCCTTTGTCCATATATGTTTACTTACAAGTGTTCATTGCAAAGAGTCATTGGTCTGGTTTGAGGCCTCTGGTTTCTACTATACTATCAATGCTGAACCCTCACTGAGACTCTTCCTAGATATCCTGTTATTGCCCTGTGTAGTGAAGCTCATGTAGCTTTGGGTCTGAGGATCAGGCCCCTTCATGTGCTCAGCAGATCAAAGATGGAATGGATGTTGGGTTGGACAAAATCTTAACCCTGAGTCTAGGCCTAGGCAGTTGTAGGGTTGGTCCATCAGATGAGAAATAGAGACAACTCCATGGAGGTAAACCTTGATAGAACGTTCAGCATTAACAAGGCAAAGACCTAGCCTTCTGTGCTATGTATAGAAGAGCACTAAACCTGATGCTTGCCAAAGCTCACTATAGCATCTCAAATGTAATACTACAGATCTTGGAGAGAAGCTATAAAGAAAGACTGGCAGAAGCCATTGTCAGTCACCTCTTCTTTAAAAAAAAAAAAAGGATTTATTTATTTTTTACGTATACAGTGCCTTCATTCATGTGTACTTACATGACAGAAGATGGTATCAAATCTCATTATAGATGTGGTTGCCAGGAATTGAACTCAGGACTTCTGGAAGAGCAGCCAGTGCTCTTAACTTCTAAGCCATGTCTCTAGCCATCAATCACCTCTTATAGGACACACAATAGTATATGAACTGTCTACAGAAAGAAATCCAGAGAACTTTGCCTAGGCCAGTGAACACAAGAAATGTAAATTATATGCAGAAAGAAATTATTTATTTTTTTTGAGACAAGGTTTCGCTAAGTTGACTAGGTTAGTCTTGAACTTACTATGTAGCTTCTGCCTCAGCCACCTCAGTGCTGACATTACAGTCCATTACAGTCAGTGTCCCACTAAGCCCAGATCTTTTTTTTTTTTTTTTTTTTTTTTTTGGCTTTTCGAGATAGGATTTTTCTGTAGCTTTGGAGCCTGCCCTGGAACTTGCTCTTGTAGGCTAGACTGGCCTTGAACTCACTCTAACTCAGGCAGAACTCCACCTGCCTCTGCCTCCTGAGTGCTGAGGTTAAAGGTATGCACCACCACTGCCCGGCCAGATCGTTTATTTTAATTACTTTTTAGATTTATGTGTATAGGCATTTTGCCAGAAAATATGTATATGCACCACATGCATACCTAATACCAATGGAGGTCAGAAGAGGGCATCAGATTCCCTGGAACTGGAGTTATAGATGATTGTAGCCCACCATGTCGGTGCTAGGAACTAAACCCAGGTCCTCTGCAATAGCAACAAGTGCTCTTAACCTCTGAGGCGTCTCTCCAGACTCATAGAAATAAATCACTCTTGATCTATTTTCCAGGTAGAAGATTTTGTGGATCCCAATGGCAAGATCTCTCTACAGCGGGAGGAAATGCCATCAAATCGGTAAGGGCAGACCCATTGGTTGAGGCTTTAGGAGAGGAGGCAGTCAGAGTGTCGTTGCTCACCAGGACATGTATCCTTCTCCTACAGAGGAGAGTCATCAGTACTTAGCTTTGTGAGCTGGCTAACACTGAGTGGTCCTGAGCAATCTAGTGTACGGGGCCCATCTACAGAGAACCAGGAAGCCAAGAGAGTGGCCTTGGACTGTATCAAGGTAACTGCCTATCTGTGTCTCATGAGAAATCCTAGACTCCTTCCTTCTAGAAAGAGGGGACCTTGTGAACTGAAGAGTATAATCATGTAGGGCCTGTAACAAGGACAATTCTTCCTGCTTTCCCTGGCTTTTGAAAATTCTCTTCCCTATAGCCTTTATTATAAATTCCCTTTCTTATATCCCCTCTAGCAATGTGACCCAGAAAAAATGATCACAGAAAGCAAGTTCCTCCAGCTGGAATCACTGCAGGAGCTTATGAAGGTACAAGATGAGGAGGTCTGAGAGGCAATGGGGTAGTGGTGTGTGCCTCAATTTCTGTTGGGACAGAGCCACTGACTGGCTTCTCTCCCATTCCTACTTTCCCTGTTGTTGCCTTCTAGGCTCTGGTTTCAGTGACCCCAGATGAAGAGACATACGATGAAGAAGATGCTGCTTTTTGTCTGGAGATGCTGCTGAGGATTGTGTTGGAGAACAGGTGGGAGGGGACAATCTTTAAGCAGACCCATCCTGAGCTTGTGGCGAAGCCTAAAGCCATCTTGCTGAGTGGCTTCTGGGAGCAAGAAACACGTGAAGCTCTGGGCACAAGGGGAGAGCTTGTGCTTGACTGCTTAGGGCACAGTTCCAGTGAACTGTGAAAGGCCTAGGAGACTTACTTCCTAGTGGCCTGTCCAGTTGTGACTGTCCTTTACCCTTCATGATTTTTTTTTGAAACATTAAAACCCTAGGATGTTTCCCTTCATGATTTTTAGGGACCGTGTGGGCTGTGTATGGCAGACTGTTCGAGATCATCTATACCACTTGTGTGTTCAGGCACAAGATTTCTGCTTTCTTGTGGAACGGGCAGTGGTAGGGCTTCTACGCCTAGCCATTCGGCTGCTCCGGAGAGAAGAGATTAGTGGCCAGGTAAGCAAATGCATGTAGGAGGGTGGGCACGTATGCAAGGAATAAGGACATAGTATCAGCTGTGACTATGGCCTAAGCATAAAGTCTATTCAGTATCCTGTATCTTTAGCACAGTGGTTCACCTCAGGGCTGGAACAGTCTCACAGGGGCATCGAGGGTGAGCCTGGAATGGTTTTAGACATAAGGTTTGCTTTAGTTTGGGCTGCTGCTGTTTTTTAGTAGTCCCCTCATCTCGTATTTGGTTTCTTGTTCTGGGAGTAGAGGTGTTGAAGTTTCTTATCCTTACATTTAGAACCCTAAGGGTAAGATCTCATGGTTCAGATATAAAAATTAGTACTGAACAACAGTTAGAGTCAACAGTCACAAGACTTAAGATCTGTACACAAGCCATACTTCCACATGATAATATGAACAAATGGAATTGAAATTAATAAATGTAATGTCCAGGCTGGGGCGATGGCTTAGCCATTAAGAGCACTTGCTGCTCTTGCAAAGGACCTGGGTTCAGTTCCCAACACCCACTGATGGCTCCAACCATCCTTACTCTTATTCCAGAGGATTTTCTAACCTCTGCAGGTTCCAGGCACATGTATGGTGTGTATACATACATGTAGGCAAAGAATATAGAAGAGGAGGAGGAGAATACAGTTTCAGGCAGACATGGTAGTGTTGAAGAGAGGGTCCCTTTGTTCTGTCCCAGCTGCCCTGCTAGCTTACACCTGAAATAACCACACAGAAATTATATTAATTAAATTACTGCTTGGCCCATTATCTCTAACCTCTTATAGGCTAACTCTTACATCTTGATTTAACCCATTTCTATTAAATCTGTGTATTGCCACATAACTGTGACTTACCAGCAAGATTCTAACCAGCATCCATCCCAGGTAGGAGATCCATGGTGTTCTGCCACTCTGCCCTTCTTCCCATCATTCAGTTCTGTCTACTCCACTTACCTAAGTTCTGCCCTATCAGGCCAAAGCAGTTTCTTTATTAATTAACCAATGAAAACAACACAAATACAGAAGGACCTCCTACACCATGGTAGTGCATGCCTTTAATGCCAGAAACAGCCACAGTCAATCTCTGTGAATTTGAGGCCAGTCAGAGTCACATAGACCTGTCTTCTAAAAAAGCAATTCCAACCTGGCTTGGTGGTACATGACTTTAATCCTAGCATTTGGGAGGCAGAGGCAGGCAGATCTCTTTGAATTTGAAGCCAACATAGTGAGTTCTAGGACAGCCAGGGCTTGTAGAGAGACTGCTTCAGATAGGTAGATGGACGGACGGACAGACGGATGGATGGATGGATGGATGGATGGATGGATGGATGGATAGATAGATAGAGTGCTACAATTCTTCACCAGATAATCAGGCATGATCACCAGCCTGTATGATATCAGCATCCAGGAGATAGAGACAGACAGATCACCAGGGAATCATGACACATGTTGCTTTGTTTGTTTGTTTACAAGATAGGATCTTACCATCTAGCTCTGACTGTTTTAGAACTCACTGTGTAGACCAAGCTAGCCTTGACTCAAACTTACAGAAATCCTAGCAAGACAGGATTTTTTTTTTCTGGCTAATGGTTATGATTTTATTAGTACATTTCTGGCATCACTTTTCAGCAAGGAGACTAGAAAATTAATATGGGCAGGGTGAGTATAAAATTAATATATGCCACATACAGTGGTCCTGTGTAGTAAATCTAATTGCACACTGAGCCAGAGAGCTAATAGAAGGCACACGCTGATTGATTTTCTTCATCAAAGCCTGCAAGATTTCATTTCATTAAATAGACAGCATATCTAAGAAAGAATTTTATGTGACACTTGGCAAAACAGGATTTTAATCCTTGTACTTGGGAGGCAGAGGCAGAGGCAAATTAGGAGTTTAAGGCCATCTTCAGCGCCATTCTTAGCTTCAAGGGCAAAGTAGGCTATATATGACCTTATCTCAAAAGAACAAACATAAAAGCAATACCACTGACAAGTACTCCAGATAAAGTGGAATTCTTAGACACCTTATAAAACATTCAGCATTTACATGCTAAAAAGTAGGAAATGGCTAGGCAGCAGTGGAACAACCTTCAATCCCAGCACTCAGGAGGCAGAGGTAGGCAGATCTCTGTGAGTTTGAGGCCAGTCTGGTCTACTTCGCATTCTTGGGATATAACTCACATTATTAGACTTGGCATGGTAGCAAGTGTCTTTATCCACCTGGCCATCTCACCAGCATGGGTTTTTGTTGTTGTTCAGGTTTGTTATTTTTGAAACAGTTCCACTGTGTAGCCCTGATTGGTTGTTTTGACTTAAGGTGTAACGTGTATCTCAGGATGGCTTCACAGTCTTCCTGCCTCTGCCTCCCTAAACTGAGATTGCAATTGTGCATCCCATGCTCTGCCACTCTAGCCAATACTAAACTTCGCTGTAGTAATGATTATGTAGGATTGGGGGCTGGAGAAATGTCTCCAAGGTTAAGAGCATTGACTCTTCTACCAATATACCCTGGTTGGACCTCCAGCACAGACGCTGACAACCCTCTAGAACTCCAGTCCCATGAATCTGATGCCCTCTTCTGGCCTCCATAAAGACTGCATCAGTACACAGACACATACAGTCAATACATACAGTCAAATCACCCATACATGTAAATAATATTTTTTAAATTATGTAGTATAGATGAATAAATAGACAAAGCTATTGAACAAATGGATGATCCAGAAATAGACTCACACAAATATGTTCAATTGAATGGTTTGGAGCTGTTTTACTTTGAATATTTTTATTTGGTTGGTTTTGATTTTGAGATAAGATCTTTTTATGTGACCCACACTGGCCATATTCCTGTCTAATCTCCCAAGTGAACTTTGACTTAAACCTTTATTTTGCATAAAAATTAGACAAATGATAATTTAAAAGATACAATGGAGAGAGTGAAGAGATGGCTCAGTAGTAGAGAACACTAGCCTTGGGTTTGGCTCCCAGCATCACATAGTGACTCACAACTATCTGTAACTCCAGTTCCAGAGGATACAGTGCCCTCTTGTGACCTCCCTGGGCAGCAGGCATGTACATGGTACACATAATGTATATGCATACATATAAAATAAAAGATCTAAAAAATAAGATATATATATTGTAAAATCTTTAGACACATAGAGAAAATCTCAGGTTCTAAAACTAAGTATTTCTAATATGGTTTATTAGTTTATTGCATACTTATTTTTTAAAAAAACTCAAAAATCTGAACACAAACACTGCACCATCAGGGAGGGCCTCGAGCTCCCATCTCCCCTTTTAGATCACTCACAATCAAAACAAGCTTCTGCTTATGTGCATAGCCTGGAATTCTGTCTTCCCCTCAATGTTTACGCTCCAGCTACAAAGTGGAGCACAGTCCATAAGAGGAAGGATTGATAAATTAGATTTTCAATCTATGAAAGCTTAATTGAAAAAAATGAAAAGCTAAGTTATAAAGCAGTAGAAAATGTTTACAGATTATACTTGAGAAAAGTCTAGTATCAAAATGCAAACATGGGGGCTGGAGAGATGGCTCAGTGGTTGAGAGCACTGATTACTCTTCCAGAGGACCCTGGTTCAATTCCCAACACCCGCATGGCAGCTCACAACTGTCTGTAACTCCAGTTCCAGGGGACCTGACACCTTCACTTAGACATACACACCAATGCACATCAAATAAAAATATATAAATTATTTTTAAAATGCAAACATGGGAAAAAGATACAGTTCACAGATGATATACAAATAGCCAATAAGCCCATGAAGTAGCATTTTCCATTAGGAAAATGCAAAAATAACACACATCAGTATGTACTTACCAGAATAGCTAAAATTAAAAGTGATAATACCAATTGCTGGCAACGATACAGAGAAACTAGATTATTCATACATTTTTGGGGGGAATAAAAAATAATACAGTTACTCTAATGGCAGTTTATTATAAAACTGAATATTCATTTACCAGAAAATACACTTTTGGGTATTTATCCCAGAAAAAATAAAGCCTTATTTTAACTTTAAAATATGTATGTAAATGTTCGTTGAAGCTGTATTCATCAAAGCCAAAAGCTGGAGTCAGCCTGCTGACTCGCAGGAAGAGAACACACTACGGTGTGAGCATACCATGGACTGCTGTCCAGCAGCTTAGAGCAGCAGACCCGATGTGTAAAGGCGTGGATAGATCTCCAGGTGGGAGAGACTTGTCTTAAGCAACAGTTCCATCTAGATAATATTTTAGAATTCACAGAATTTTAGAAGTTGAGAGCAGATTGCTAAGGGTTATAAATGGATCAGAGAAAAGGACTGGAAAAGCGGCTGTCAAGCAGCAGCTTGACTCCCATGGTGTAGGAACTTGTGGGTAGACAACCCTACACAGGTGATAAATTGTAGAACTTAGTACACCCTTAGTACACATATGAATTCAAGTAAAATTAGGGAAAGCCTGTGGAAACAAGTAAATTATTCCTAATTCTGTCCTGTTGCCATGTTATGCTTAGTCTGCATCATATTGCCTTTGAGATAGACTAGACAAAGTACACAAGGAAACTCTATGTGTTGTTATAACTATATGTGAACATATAATTAATAAAAATACCAATATTAAAAAATGAAGCATGACCAAGGGTGTACTTTAGCTGTAGAATACTTGCCTAATACATGTAAGGCCCTGGGTTCAATTCCCAGTACTCCAAAAGAAAAGAAGACAATACCAGATCAGTGACAGTTGAGTCCAAGCCAAACTCTCGACGCTAGCCTAGATGACTAATAGAGATGATCAGTCAGGAAATTTTTTCTATGTCCATCCCACTTCCTACTCCTCATCCCATCCCATTCCATCCCAGGTCCTGCTCTCCCTACGCATCTTGTTACTGATGAAGCCCAGCGTGCTGTCCAGAGTCAGCCACCAGGTTGCATACGGGCTCCATGAACTCCTCAAGACCAATGCAGCCAACATCCACTCTGGTGATGACTGGGCCACTCTCTTCACATTGCTGGAGTGCATCGGCTCAGGCGTGAAGCCTCCAGATGCTCTACAGGCCACAGCCAGGGTCGATGCTCCTGATGCTGGTATGTACTTTCCCAGGAAGATGCTCACTGTCAGATAAGCAGTTAGGACCCAGGAGCTGTTGTGGGAAAACAAAACACAGGTTATTATGGTCAGCAGATTAAACACATCTGGCCTCTGCCATCTGCTTCCAGATCTTCCTGTACATACTGACTACCTACAAGCTAGATAGCATGAAGGCAAGAAGATGATAGTGCAGAAGGCTATCAAGCCCCATTTCTACTGTTTTGAAAACCATTTTACAGAAACCTATGTCCTATGCTACCACATTTCCTTAACAGCTGCTATTAGTTGCTATCAGAAGCCCAAATTAGCTTGTTGCCCTATTTAGTCAAGAGAGATGTTGTCCAGGACCAAAAGGAAGCCAGGCATGAGAGAAGATGTCAAGCCTCAGCAACTTTCTTTAGGATCTGTTATCCTCTTCCATGTCCCATCTCTGCTCTTTTCCCTACCTGGCTTAGGAGCACAGTCAGACAGTGAGCTCTCATCCTACCATCAAAATGATGTCAGCCTGGACCGTGGGTATACTTCCGACTCAGAAGTCTACACTGACCATGGCAGGCCTGGCAAGATACACCGATCAGCCACAGATGCTGATATGGTCAACAGTGGTTGGTTAGTGGTGAGTCTACTACCATCCTGAGCCTGTAAGAAAGATTCTTGGTTCTCAGAGACACATCTGAGGCGCCTGAGAACAGGGGCCCCAACATGTATCATGTATCTTTATAGGTGGGGAAGGATGACATTGATAACTCCAAAGCAGGAGCAGGGCTCAACAAGCCAGGCCCTTCACCCCTGGTTAATCAATATAGCCTCACAGTGGGCCTGGACCTGGGACCACATGACACTAAGTCCCTGCTCAAGTGTGTGGAATCGTTGTCCTTCATTGTTCGTGATGCTGCTCACATCACCCCTGACAACTTTGAACTTTGTGTCAAGACTCTCCGCATCTTTGTTGAGGCCAGTCTGAATGGTGGTAAGTCACCATTGAAGGAACAGTTGGGGTGTGGATCAGGTAGATAGGGGAGAAAACTATGGGAATGTGACCTAAGTCTGGCTCTGCTCAGGGTGCAAGTCCCAGGACAAACGTGGCAAGAGTCACAAATATGACAGCAAAGGGAACCGCTTCAAGAAAAAACCCAAGGAGGGCTCAATGCTTCGGCGGCCCCGAACCTCCAACCAACATGCCACTCGGGGTGGACATAGTGATGAGGAAGAGGATGAAGGCGTGCCTGCCAGCTACCATACGGTGTCTTTACAGGTCAGTCAAGACGTAAGTATGGCACCCTTTACTTCTTCTCCTGAGACTCAGAACTTGGGCGGAACCAGGGAAAGTCAGAACTCAGAAGGAATACCCATTGTGTGCTTCCCATCCCCTCAACCACCACCCCTTATCTGAAACCACCTGTAAGTCTTTGCTTATAGTGTGCTTGTTCATTTGGAGACAGGATCTCACTATGTAGTGCTAGCTTACCTGGAATTCCCCGTGTAGACCAGACTGACCTTAAACTTACACAGATCTATTTGCCTCCGCCTCCTGTGTACTGAAGTCAAAGGCATGCGCCATCATAGCTGGCACTAAATTAAATTAGTATTTTTGGGGCTAGTGATTTATCTCAGTAGGTAGAGTTCTTGTCTAGCATGTTTAAGACCCTTAGTTCAAATTTACATGTTTAAAGACTTCACTTATTTAATACATAATGTAGGTACATGATACAAGGTTCAAAAGGTAGAAAAGGATAGATTGATAAGATTGAGCTTCCATTTATTCCTGTATCCAGACAGAGTTCCCCTTACTAGAGGTGGCTACATCTCTAGCATTTTGTCTATCCTTCCATAGTTATTAAGTGTCTTTCAGGCTAACTTTATCTGACTAGATAAATAGAGAAACAGTTTCCTTCAGAGTAGCCTTAGAAGGATGATGAAAAGCTGGCATGGTGGCGTACGCCTTTAATCCCAGCACTCAGGAGGCAAAGGCAGGCGGATCTCTGTGAGTTTGAGGCCAGCCTGGTCTGTAAAGGGATTTCCAGGACAACTAGAACCAGGGCTATGCAGAGAAACCCTATCTCAAAAAAAAAAAAAAAAAAAAGGAGGAGGAAGAGGAGGGAGGGAAGGAGGAACGAAGGGAGGGAGGAAAAGATGATAAAGGGGGAAGGAGAAATAGCTCAACATTAAGAGTGCTTACTAGGGGCTGGAGAGATGGCTCAGCGGTTAAGAGCACTGACTGCTCTCCCAGAGGACCCAGGTTCAATTCCCAGCACCCACATGGCAGCTCACAACTGTCTGAAGGTCCAGTTCTGGGGGATCTGACACCTTCACACCAATGCACATAAAATAAAGTTAAATAAACCATGAAAAATATTTTAAAAAAAAAAAGAGTGCTTACTAGTCTTGCAGAGGACACATGGACCAGCTTCAGCTCCTAGTGCCCATATCAGGTGGCTGTAACTTGTTAGAACTCCAGTTCGGGGAATCTGACACTCTTTGGCCTCTACAGGCACTTGTGCACACATGGTATACCTGAAGTCACATGGGCACACACACACAAACACATAAATTTCTAAGAATAAGTTAATTTGAAGGCTGGAGAGGTGTCCTGCTAAGGACACTGCCTGCTCTTCCAGAGAACCCTGATTCAGTTCTCAGCACCACATGGCAGCTACAGCTGTGACTACAGGTGGAGGGACTCTGATAACTTCTTTTGGACTCTTAAGCACTGCATATACATGGTGCACAGACATACTGCAGGCAAAATACCCATACAATATAAAATAAAAATAATTAAATCTTTTTAAAAAATAGAATAAATACATTCAGGAGGCAGAAACAGGCAGATCTCTGAGTTCAGGGCCAGCCTGGTCTACAGAGCAAGCTCCAAGATAACCAGGGCTACACAAAGAAACACTGTCTCAGGAGGATGGGGGTAATTTTTTAAAAAGGAAAACTGATGAAAAATATGTGTTAAATCTGGGCAGACACTGTTGTCTGTGCAAGCCTTTGAGACTAAAGTTTGCATTTTAAGTTTATCGTTGTGTGTGGACTTATCACCATGGCATGAGTGTGAAGCTGGAGGACAACTCTGTGAGCTGGTTCTCTCCTTCTACCTGTGCACGGGTTCCAGGATCCAACTCAGGTTGCCAGGCTGCATGGCAAACACTTTCACCTGCTAAACCATCACACTGGCCCCAAGTTTGCTGTATTTTTAAAATGAAATTAACAAGGGCAATTGATATGAGTCAAGTGGATAAAGGTGCTTGCTGCCAAGGCTGGTAACCCGAGTCACCCCCAGAACCCACATGGTGGGAGGAGAGAACCAATTCCTACAAATTGTCCTCCACACACATGTTGTGGCATGCACACATTTTTTATTATAATAAGATTAATAAAATTTTAAAATTAATAAAAATTTCCAGGTGTGAAATAGGATTGAGTGTCTTTCTTGGAGCCAGAGAGATGGCCCAGCAGTTAAGAGGATCTAGGTTTGGTTCCCCCACCCATGTGGCAGCTCACAGGAATCTCTAACTCCAGTCCCAGGGTACCCAGTGCCCTCTTCTCTCCTCCATGGCACAGCATACACATGATGCACAAGCAAAACACATGTGCAGGCAAACACCTGAAAAAATAGATACATTTTTAAAATTAAAAACAAAACCCAGAAAGTTCCATTCTCCCTGTAATCTCCTAGTATTAGATCTCAGTGCACATGCCTGCTAATGTCTTCTTCTATAAGTAACTCTTGACTTCCTTCCTCTAGGAACACTGCCCGGACTAGAGCAAAGGAGGTTGTGAGAGGAATGGAGTGGGCCTACTTGTGCTGGAGGGTCCCTTGAAGACTCAGTCAGGGAGAGCTGGGGAGGGAGGGAAAGGGCCCAGCACAACAACCCCGCTCACATCCTGCACTCTCTTCTCATCCCAGTTGCTGGACCTGATGCACACCCTGCACACTCGGGCAGCCTCTATCTACAGCTCCTGGGCAGAGGAGCAACGCCACCTGGAATCAGGTGGCCAGAAGATTGAAGCCGATTCACGCACTCTCTGGGCCCACTGCTGGTGCCCTTTATTACAAGGTAAACCTGGGGAAGGCTGCAAGGTGGGACAGGTGACATTGAAGCCTGCAGAGCACCAGACCCTGCTCTTACTCTCAGGTATTGCCTGCCTGTGCTGTGATGCCCGGCGCCAGGTGCGGATGCAGGCGTTGACATATCTGCAGCGAGCACTTCTGGTACATGACCTACAAAAACTAGATGCCCTGGAATGGGAGTCCTGCTTTAACAAGGTAGTACTTCTTACAGTCTAAGAGAAAGTCCAAACATTAAGGCCAAAAGAGTCAGGCACCCTAAAAAGCTCCTGCCATTCACCAGCATCAGACCTTCTCTGTTGTTCTGTGCCTATCCACCCAGGCCCAGCATCCCTAGGACAAAGTTGTTCAACTGACTGAGCTAAGGTAACATTGGATGTTTACCTGCCAGGTGCTGTTTCCTCTACTGACCAAGCTGTTAGAAAATATCAGCCCTGCAGATGTCGGTGGGATGGAGGAGACCCGGATGAGGGCTTCCACACTGCTCTCAAAGGTACTGCTCAAAACCCTGCATCCACCTCCTCTCCCATTCCTGCCTTTTCTCACAGAGAAGCCAGGTCTTCCTCATAGGGTCCAGAGATGACATGTAAGTGCTCAGAATCCCAGCCATCGAGGCTGCTCAGGAACTCAGAGGGGTCTGAATTTCAGAGGAACCTCTGATTAAGTACTTACAAGTCGGGGCCAGCTTCCTTCAGCTTTGGAGAGAGCCACAGAAGGTTCCTCCACTACCCTTGGCTAAAAGGGGCTGGCTGTGGGCTCTAGGTCTTCCTGCAGCACCTGTCTCCACTGCTGTCGCTGTCCACCTTTGCTGCCCTGTGGCTCACCATCCTGGAATTCATGGACAAGTACATGCATGCAGGTTCCAGTGATTTGCTGGTATGTTCTGCCTTGACCCATTCCCTCTTCCACATGCTGAGAAGACTTGCTATTTGCTCTTCATGGCTGCCTCCAACTTACCTCTCCTGTTCCATGGTCCCACTGCTGCCTGCAGTCAGAAGCAATCCCTGAGTCTCTGAAGAACATGCTCCTGGTGATGGACACAGCAGAGATCTTCCACAGTGCAGATGCGAGAGGAGGCGGCCCCTCTGCCCTCTGGGAGATTACCTGGGAGCGCATTGATTGCTTTTTGCCACATTTACGTGATGAACTCTTCAAGCAGACTGTCATCCAGGGTAGGGGTCTGCTCTGATCTCACAAGGAATCCTCAAGGCTGAACTTTTTCTGTTTACTGGGAGGATGGACAGATTAGTGGCTTCCCACTGGTCATGGTGATACATGCCTATCGTCCCCAGGACGCTGGGGAGCCGAAGGCAGGAGTCCAGAGTTAGGCCTTTTCAGGTTTCAGGAACATATGAGCTAGCCATGGCTACCTGAGACTCTGTCACAGGGGGTGCTGGGGGGGGGGGCGCGGTTAGCCAGGATCCTGCAGGAAAGAAAGTACTGAGAGTTGCCATCTGGATTCTCTGCTCCAGACCCCATGCCCACCGAACCTCACAGCCAAAAGCCTCTGGCCTCCACCCACCTGACTCCTGCTGCTGGTGACCCCAGGACGCCCGGCCATCCACCTTCCCCAGAGATACCCTCAGAAGTGGGGGCCTGTGGTGAGTTCCTCAGAGATGGTTGGTTAGAGAAAGCCTAGAAAGATGCCCAGTGTAGTTTAGGATTATTGCTGGAATGGAGCTGGGAGACTAGGAAGAAGTCAGGGTGAGAAGCCTGCTTGCCGGCTCCTCCTATGGGAAACAGCAGGACCAGTTACATTGTAATAAGGTTTCTAGACTGGGAGGAGAGGGCTGCATCACTATACAAAGGCCTATCAGGCCTAAAGATCCAGACCAAAACTGACCTGGCTGAGGAGCACAGGAAAGGAGGAAGGGGCTAGAGGCAAAGTAACTGCATCCTGAGTGAGCTGTGGACTTTTTATATTGGTAGATAAATGCATTTTGTTACACATGATATCATCTAGTAACCAATTCTATAGATTGTATGTGGAAGCAAAATTGAAACTTGTTTTTTTATTTATGTTTTAATGTATTTTTTTATATGACATGAGTTTTAAGAGGAGGTTTCTAACAACTTCACCTGAGAGAGAGGAGTTGGGAAGAATAGAGGTTTGAGAAGTCCACTAGGAAGTCTGACTGCAACCGCCTTTACTTCCCTTACAGACTCAGAGAAGCCTGAGGGTACCCGAGCTCCCAGCAGCAGCTCTCCCACATCACCAGTGGCCTCTAGTCCTTCCCCAGAGGGCCCTCCCCCACTGGCCCAGCCCCCACTAATCCTACAGCCACTGACTTCCCCACTGCAGGTGGGCGTGCCGCCCATGACGCTGCCCATCATCCTCAACCCAGCCCTCATCGAGGCTACCTCCCCGGTGCCACTCTTGTCCACACCCCGTCCTGCAGACCCTATCCCCACCTCTGAAGTCAACTAAGGCAGTCCTCGGAGATCAGGACCATTACTTCCCACCAGACGTTCCAGTCTCAAGGGCCACAGAAATCTTCAAGCCCAAAGCAAGCTGCTATTGCTACTACTTGATGGGGGAAATGAGAATTCTTATTTCATTCAGTGCTGGGATCCACTTCAGGCTGCGAGACTCTCTTCCTCTACTGTCCATTCCTGAACTTCCAAGCTGAGAGTGGACACAGGCATAGCCCGTAGCCTCTGCTTTGAGCCTGGCAGCCCTGGGAAGGCATGGAACCAACCCCACTGTGCCAACCCTGCAGTGCCTGCCATTTGCCCCTCTGCCAGGTTAGGCATTAAGAGCCAAGCCCAACCACTCTGCACTTTGTTCCTCTCCATCCAGTCCCATCAGCCCTGGGCCACCTTCTCCAATTCTTCCTTTACTAAATAGTTGGTCAGTTTGGAGTTGCTTGGCACCATGGAGGGTGGGCAGGTAGGACTTGATGGGGGTCTGCCCATAGGAGCATGTACATATGGAAAATAACACCAATGGACTTTTTATGATGTAATAAATATATTAGTACCAACACATTTCCTATTCCTCTGGCTTTCTTTTGCATTTGTGTCAGAATACTATGTTACTGGATATCCTATCCAAGGCTTGCTTGGGCCTTGGATAAACCGGTAAAGAGGCCTTGTCCACCTGACACCCCGCCCCCCAGCGACCAGCCAGAGGCTCCCCACTCAACATCTCCATGAAGGAGCTATGTCAAGGGCTTAGGCAGTTTCATCATTGCTCCAAGAGAGAACCTTAAAGCCTTCCAGGACCACAGGGCAGGTAAGTCAGAGCAGTTGTAGCTGCCCACAAGTCTTTCAGATAAGCCTCATGGCCTGAGATTACAAGAAGGCCGTGAGGCTGGACAGGTGGACGGCCATCTTGCCCACAGTTGCAATCATGTTTCTGGGCACAGGCTAATTAGCCTGAGTCCAAACTGCAGTATGTCCTGTTCCCTGCCCCACACCTTCCACCTACCCTAATCACCTAAATGTGATTGAAGGGCCTCTCCCCTTGACCTTTGCATCATGATAAGGCAGGCAGGCAGGACTGCACGGGGCAGGCCCTCCAGGACCAAGGCACGCCTGGGATTCTGGGGATGGCAGCGTGACTCAGAGGCAGTGCTTACCTGGCTGCCTGGGCTCCACGTCCAATGCTGAGGAGCAAAAACAATAGCTGTGCTGAGTCACTTTCTCAGGTGCTTCCTACACAGTGATGCCTGCCCCTCCTGGGAACAGGTGTGGACCTGCGGGCCTGCTGGCCTTGCTTCTGTAGCCCTAGGACTTTCCCTCACGCTGATGTCCGCTGTCTACAGCTCAGTACCCGGTCTTTCCTTTGCTTGGCACTTGTACGCCGCCAGAGCTGGGGCCTCTATAAATATATTACTCCTATGTATGAGAAATGAACACCACCTGAGAGGAGGAAGTTTTCATAAAACATGAACTAGTTTCTCTTCTTTCCTTCTCACCCAGGTCTAGACCATGCCTAATTTCCACATGAATCAGAAGCCTGGCCCAGCCCTACCCCTGGGAAAATTAGGCACTCAGTACTCAATGGGGGATGTAGAAAAGCCAGTCTACAGCCAACTAGATAGACACCAGGGCCCTCGCCTCAGCCCCCATCTCTTCTCCCATCTGAGCCCACAAGCTCTGCCCCTTACATTTCCCTGTGGCTGGTGGGAGAGGGGGGCACCTAGGGCCCTGCTATGTTTTGCTAGATTGATATACAGAAATGCCTATTCCCTGACAGACTAAAGAAATTCCACCCAAGTCTAGCCTGGTAAACAAAGGAGTTTATTGGGGTGACTTACAGGAGCACAGGTGAGCAGGTGTAGCATGCTTTTTTTTCCTGAACACCAACCAGCTCCCCTAATCATGACATAGAGACTTAATATTAGTTATGAATGCTTGACCTTGTCTTAGACTTATTTCTTGCTAGCTCTTGTAATAATTGAACCTGTTTCTCTTCATCCATGTTTTGTCTCGGGTCTTTTTTCCATTCTGTACGTCCTATTCCATGTCTGGCTGGGTGGCGGCTTCCTGGCTGGCCCTGGGCATCCCCCTCTCTCTCTCCCTTGTTCTCCCTTCTTTTTGACCTAAATTCCTCCTACTACTCATTCTCTTTGCCCTCAACCCCACCAATCCGTCTACACACTAGCTCTGGCCATTCAGCTTTTCACTAGACCAATCAGGTGCCTTCGGCAGGCAGGTGAAACAGCAACACACTTTACACTGTTGAAGTCAAACTCCCAACTCTCAGGCGCCTATGCCACCTGAGAAGCCCACTCCAGCGTGGGTGATGGTTCACAACAGCCTCATCGCTAGGGTCCCAACCCTAGACAACCTTCTACCCCTTTCATAGACCATGAGTAGCTGGGACAGGACTGTGCACAGGCAGATGGGAAGTGGTAGCTGAACCCTCTGGTGAGGCTCTCTATCCCGCTCCCTTTCTGGGAGCAATATTCACAGGCCTGGAGCGCCTCTTCTGTGAGGGATGCTCCCAGGCCTGGTCCCCTGCCTGTGTTCCCCATCAAGCTACTGTGACTCCAAGACAGCACTGGTCCTCTCCAGCTTGGGGGACAGAGTTGCACTAGGCCATCCTATGAAGGAAAAGGACTCCTGCATGTCTCTCAGTCTCACCAAGTAGAGAAGATGCTGAAGGACTACAGGCTGACCCCCTGCTGGGAAGCAAAGAAAACCATTTGTGGGGGCTGGAGACAGTCCCAGCACCCATGTGGAGAGGCTTATAACTTCCTGTAACTCCAGCTCCACAGGATCTGATGCCCCCTTCTGGCCTTAGCATCACCTAACATAGTGACATAATTAACACACAGACATAATTAAAAACAAATCTTTTTTAAAAAGGAAAAGAAAAATCACTCGCCAGAATTGCCCTTCTATTATAGAAAAGAAAGCTGAATCATGACAATAATATCTCCTCTTAGAAGACAAAGGTGGCCGTGAGAGGAGGCTTCAGTTCTGACCAGCAAGGACAGCCACCTTGGTGATGTAGAAATGATAGGATCCTTGGGGAAAGCCACAGCCTGGTCTGGGAAAAATGCTTGTCTCCCTTAGAGCTCAATGAGAGTAGATTTCAAAAATGAGACACCCATGAAGTCTCACCTCACCAACATGGCTGCTTGACCTGAACCAACCAGTAAACACACTACCATGGAAGGAGATAATTCAGAAAGCCTCGACCCTAGGCAAGGAACTATGGGCAACTGGGGGAATACAAGAGCAAGAGAAAGAGGCTCCCAGTTGGTTATTCAACAGCAAGAGCACAGTTCTGAGACCATACATCTGCAAGTGACGCTAAGACTGCATTTATGGGATGGGGATGGGGGCTAAGTAGAGGGGACAGGAGGATGGGAGGGAGAGAGAGGGAACTGAGATTGCTATGTAAAATAAAAAAAGATAGTCTATTTTCTTTAAAAAAAATTTTTAAAAAACTGTGTATTTAGGACTAAATAGTGTACGTGTGTGTGTGTGTGTGTGTGTGTGCACATGTGTAGCACGTGTGTCTGTAACAAAGAAAAAGAAACCATGACCTGCCAAGCAGTGGTAGCGTATATCTTTAATCCCAGCACTCGGAAGGCAGAGGCAGGTGGAGCTCAGTGAGTTTGAGGCCAGCCTGGTCTACAAGAGCTAGTTCCAGGACAGGCTCCAAAGCTACAGAGAAACCCTGTCTCGAAAAAAGAAAACAAAACAAGCAAAAAGAGTGCATGAATTTGAAAAGGAGCAAGGAGCTACATGGGGTGGGGGAAGGGATTGGATGGACAAAAGGAAAGAGAGAAAGATGTAATTATAAATTCAAAAAATAAATGTTTTCTTTTTACATCAGGGTTTCTGTGTAGCCCTGGCTGTCCTGGAACTCACTCTGTTGACCAGGCTGGCCTCAAACTCCCAGAGATCCACCTGTCTCTGCCCCCTGAGTGCTGGGATTGAAGGTGTGTGCCACTACCACCCATCAAGAATATATATATGTATACATATATATATGTATATATATATTTGCCATTTATCATAGAAGCTAAGGAAAATATATTTTAAAATGACCAGAAGAAAGCTGGTGATGGATCCGTGACACAAGACCCTCACACTGAAAAGTGACGTTGCTAGAGCAATGGGTGTGTCTGTGCTGGCTGGCCTGAACATCCATCCTGTAGAAGGGTTTCCCACAAGTCTGAGGCCAAGGCTTGGAGCATGGATCAGACCCACTTCTGTCTCCAGTCTTCCTGTTCCTTCCTGTGAAGCTTCTACATTCTAAGAGGTGGTGGTAGTGCCGGAACTCCACACATACCAAGAATACATGTGAACATTCTCATGCAAGATGATATTAGGAAGGGTGGCTGCAGAATGAGCCGCATGGTACACACTCAAAGCTCCACACACCGACCTGCTAGGAACAAGAGAGCTGAGGTTAACAGAGCACAGGCATTCCTTTTTGTTCAGGGCTCACTGGCTGGGCGACAGTAGCCAAGGGGTAGCAGAACTAGTAGTTGAGTCTCCAGAGAAAAGGACGTTCACCACAGCAGCTGTGTAGGCGGAGTTTTCCATCAGGACCGTCAATCAGCTCTGTCCCACCAGGGCTCCCAAATAACCACACAGGGACTTAATTACAAATGCCCGGCTGATGGCGTAGGCTTATTTTAAGATTTATTTATTTATGCATACAGTATTCTGACCAGAAGAGGGCGCCAGATCTCATTACTGACGGTGTGTGAGCCACCATGTAGTTCCTGGGAAGTGAACTCAGGGCCACAGGAAGAGCAGCCACTGCTCTTAACCACTGAGCCACCTCTCCAGCCTTTAAGCTAGCTCTTACGAGTTAAATTAACCCATTTCTATTCATCTATTTGCTGCCCCGAGGCTCATTTACCTTGTCTACAGCCTTCCCAACCTGTTGGCTCTGCCTCTCATAGCGTCTCCTCCAGACTCCTGAGACTCCACCTTTCTTTCCCCCAGCATTCTCTCTGCCCTAAATATTCTGCCTAGCCATTGGGCAGCCAATCAATTCTTTTATTGACAATGAGAGCAACACACCTTCACGGTGTTCAGAAGGGTTATTCCACAGCACAGCTGGTCATCTGCACTTTGAAATATTCTTCCCTGTTTCTGAGGCATTAATTTTTCTTAGTTCTTATCCACCCCATTGGCCATGTGGCTTTTTCTGGTCCCTTTATTGGTTCAGCTCCACAGTCTCTGACTATTTGAGCACCCAAAGCTTAGTCCTCAGCTCCCAACCTGCTCTCTGTTCTCTCTGGGTGATGCCATCCCCTGGCAAAGCATCGAACACCATCCCATGCACTGCTTTCGTGCCCGGCTTCAACCAACTTTGTCTTTGTGTGATGTACAGTACACTCTTCTAGAACCTACGGCATCTCCATCCCACCGCCTATCCTATTCAGAAGGAAATGCATTCAAATTCCCTGCCCCTGCCCCTTTTTGAGACAGTCCTGGAAATTGAACTCGGAGCCTTGTTCATGCTAGGAACATGCCCTAGCTCTAAGCTACAGCCCCACCCCAAAGCTCTT